TCGCTCGTGTGGTTGTGTATTGTTGCAGTGTCGGTATTGAAAAATTTGATTTGAAGAAAAATTTGATTTGAAGGCATAAACTTTCAGGTATATGATTAAGTGTCAGTGAAGTATCGGTGAAGCATCGGCCAAGTGTCGACCGAGTGTCGGCCAAGTGTCGGTCAAATATCGACCGACTGTCTACCGATATGTCGACCGACTATCGGCCGACATATATCGGTCGACATATCGACCGACATGTCGACCGACTATTTTCCGACTATCGAACGACCATCCACCGATTATCGACCCATCTACCGAACGACTGTCGACCGACTATCGACCGACTGTCGACCGACTGTCGACCGACATGTCGTTCGACATGTCGGTCGCCATGTCGGTCGTCATGTCGGTCGCCATGTCGGCCGACACTACTTATATTAACATTGATCCGAGATTTTGATGTAAAACTTTATCATATGGCTCCGAAATCAGGCGGCAAGAGCGATAATTTTTCGTTAACTACGGCCGAGCAATGGAATTTGGAGCTTCCGACCATGCTGGCTGGAACAGGAAGTATGTATTGGAGTGGTCTGGTATTTGGTATTGGTATAAATATATCAGGTAATAGCCTACTCCCTACTACGCCCACTAGATGCCGACTTATAAGCGCCGTCAGAATTTTCTCATTCTGGAATTCATGTAGATTATGGTTTATGTAGATCATAATGACATAGCTAAAGTGACTTTGTGAAAAAGTTAAATCTTGTAGAGTCGCAGTGATGCGACTGAGTGGTCCTATCTCATGATGTTTGTCTGCTGGCCATATTCTGGTTTCGTGTGATTTAGAGAGGTTCATAACTGGCTCGAATTACATTGTGCAGCATTTGTTACACACCTAACAGTTTCACAGTGATAATCGCAGAGATATACCATTTTGTTCTTATCGTCTCCTTGATATCGTAAGTGATGGAGAAAAAAAAGATGATTCTCGGTATACAGGTCAGTAGTAAACAATCTTCAAGTAAATTCCCATGTAATTATGAGCATGGTTTCCCCTTTGGCAGTTCACCTGGTACAGAAGAAGATATATTGGGGTTAAAAGGAAGCAATTGTTCGTAAGCGATAAACAGGAAAAGTAGAGCCCGCAAATAACGAAGGCGAGAAGAAGAAAAGAAAAAGCCGCCAGGAGGCGAAGGAGGATAAATCACTGTCAAAAAAGTTCAAAGAAAGTGGCCAAAATGTCACTAATGATTGGAAATGGAACGAGCGACAGGAACACGAGTTTCAAAAGTTAAATAAAGGTATTGAAATACCTACTTACATAACCCTTAACCACTAAAACGTTGCCGTGAAATTCTTTTAAGGAAAGAAAAGACGGAATGATTAGTGATAGCAAATGCGCCGTTCGGTCGCATTCCCGAGGGAATAGATCCCTAATTTTACCAAGTGAAATCGTCCAAACGCGTCATATACTCTCTTATTAAACTCTTTAAGGTTTCAAGTGAGCAATATTGATATGGGGAATGGACATATTTTATAGTCATGTTGGTGATTTCTGTATGCGCGAGGAAAACTTATTGGATTGACTTGTTTTCAGAACTTAAAAAGTTGGAAGGGTCAATAACCCGCACTGAATAGCTATTAAGATGTGGAATCTGCTCAAAGGCTCTTCGAGTTGCCGGTACTCACCGTACAGTGAAGGGAAAGAAGTCGTATTTTAAAACGGGTAGGTTACATTATACTTTTCGTGAATATCGTTATGAGTATATGGTACCTTTCATACTTTTTTTTAAATGAACACCATTGTATTTGTTTTCAGCGCATTATGATCCATGTGCGAAAAGACTGCAATCACCTCTGAAAGGTTCCAAGAGCATAGACAGCTTTTTTAGTTTATCTTCGACTTGTGAACACCGTGATGATACAGATGTCATGATTGCCACTGAGCAAACGGAAGACTTTGAAGGAGTCGATGACGTCATTTTAGACAAGTAAATAATGGACTGTGTTTTACAAGAATTATTATCTCGTGGGAAAAGTAGTTAGTTGGAGTTTCATAAATCTTCCTACTACAAAACTATGATCAACCAAGCAGGTCGGAATAAACTTTTTCGGATAATCGAAAATCTGTTTCAACCGGGTAGTTCAGCCCTGCCCTCTTATTCATCTTTCGAATCACTGGTTGAAGAATTCAATGACTTTTTATTAGAAAAATCCAATCCATGAGAGATGAACTTAAGGAAAATGCAGTGAACCATTCAATACATTCTCAGAGTCCGCCTTTGGCTTATGAATTTAACTTGATGCGTGTGTCCTGGTCTACCGTCAAAATGTTATAGAACGTTTACACGCATTATTAGGATTTTGCTTGTTTTGTTATATTTCACATGATTAGCGGCGCACTAAGTGAGTTATTGGTTCTTTACCTCTAATAGAGACCGGTAGAATGTAACCGGAAATATTGACAAAGAATGCGTAGAACGATCGACAAACAATGATGTAATTAACTAGATAATTGCTAGTGAAATCGCGTGTTAAGATTAACGATAATAAGATTTGTCTAACAGACCCATGCAACAGGAATTAGTGGGATCAANTCCCGTACAGGCCTGATTTTTTTCAGGTCTGATTTTCGCTATTGCATAAATAGCGCTATCTACTGCGAGGATCGTGCATCATACGTATCTAATACCGCAGTTCAAAATATATGAACTTCATATATTCATTGTATCTCATTTATCACTTTCACGGGTTTATTACGAATCAACTTAACGGCCTGCTCCCAGTTGGCTTGTTAGCTCAATTGGTAGAGCGCTGCACTAGTATCGCAGAGGTCAGTGGTTCGAGTCCCGTACAGGCCTGATTTTTTTCAGGTCTGATTTTCGCTATTGCATAAATAGCGCTATCTACTGCGAGGATCGTGCATCATACGTATCTAATACCGCAGTTCAAAATATATGAACTTCATATATTCATTGTATCTCATTTATCACTTTCACGGGTTTATTACGAATCAACTTAACGGCCTGCTCCCAGTTGGCTTGTTAGCTCAATTGGTAGAGCGCTGCACTAGTATCGCAGAGGTCAGTGGTTCGAGTCCCGTACAGGCCTGATTTTTTTCAGGTCTGATTTTCGCTATTGCATAAATAGCGCTATCTACTGCGAGGATCGTGCATCATACGTATCTAATACCGCAGTTCAAAATATATGAACTTCATATATTCATTGTATCTCATTTATCACTTTCACGGGTTTATTACGAATCAACTTAACGGCCTGCTCCCAGTTGGCTTGTTAGCTCAATTGGTAGAGCGCTGCACTAGTATCGCAGAGGTCAGTGGTTCGAGTCCCGTACAGGCCTGATTTTTTTCAGGTCTGATTTTCGCTATTGCATAAATAGCGCTATCTACTGCGAGGATCGTGCATCATACGTATCTAATACCGCAGTTCAAAATATATGAACTTCATATATTCATTGTATCTCATTTATCACTTTCACGGGTTTATTACGAATCAACTTAACGGCCTGCTCCCAGTTGGCTTGTTAGCTCAATTGGTAGAGCGCTGCACTAGTATCGCAGAGGTCAGTGGTTCGAGTCCCGTACAGGCCTGATTTTTTTCAGGTCTGATTTTCGCTATTGCATAAATAGCGCTATCTACTGCGAGGATCGTGCATCATACGTATCTAATACCGCAGTTCAAAATATATGAACTTCATATATTCATTGTATCTCATTTATCACTTTCACGGGTTTATTACGAATCAACTTAACGGCCTGCTCCCAGTTGGCTTGTTAGCTCAATTGGTAGAGCGCTGCACTAGTATCGCAGAGGTCAGTGGTTCGAGTCCCGTACAGGCCTGATTTTTTTCAGGTCTGATTTTCGCTATTGCATAAATAGCGCTATCTACTGCGAGGATCGTGCATCATACGTATCTAATACCGCAGTTCAAAATATATGAACTTCATATATTCATTGTATCTCATTTATCACTTTCACGGGTTTATTACGAATCAACTTAACGGCCTGCTCCCAGTTGGCTTGTTAGCTCAATTGGTAGAGCGCTGCACTAGTATCGCAGAGGTCAGTGGTTCGAGTCCCGTACAGGCCTGATTTTTTTCAGGTCTGATTTTCGCTATTGCATAAATAGCGCTATCTACTGCGAGGATCGTGCATCATACGTATCTAATACCGCAGTTCAAAATATATGAACTTCATATATTCATTGTATCTCATTTATCACTTTCACGGGTTTATTACGAATCAACTTAACGGCCTGCTCCCAGTTGGCTTGTTAGCTCAATTGGTAGAGCGCTGCACTAGTATCGCAGAGGTCAGTGGTTCGAGTCCCGTACAGGCCTGATTTTTTTCAGGTCTGATTTTCGCTATTGCATAAATAGCGCTATCTACTGCGAGGATCGTGCATCATACGTATCTAATACCGCAGTTCAAAATATATGAACTTCATATATTCATTGTATCTCATTTATCACTTTCACGGGTTTATTACGAATCAACTTAACGGCCTGCTCCCAGTTGGCTTGTTAGCTCAATTGGTAGAGCGCTGTACTAGTATCGCAGAGGTCAGTGGTTCGAGTCCCGTACAGGCCTGATTTTTTTCAGGTCTGATTTTCGCTATTGCATAAATAGCGCTATCTACTGCGAGGATCGTGCATCATACGTATCTAATACCGCAGTTCAAAATATATGAACTTCATATATTCATTGTATCTCATTTATCACTTTCACGGGTTTATTACGAATCAACTTAACGGCCTGCTCCCAGTTGGCTTGTTAGCTCAATTGGTAGAGCGCTGCACTAGTATCGCAGAGGTCAGTGGTTCGAGTCCCGTACAGGCCTGATTTTTTTCAGGTCTGATTTTCGCTATTGCATAAATAGCGCTATCTACTGCGAGGATCGTGCATCATACGTATTAATTCCATTTGTCTACAATTTGATGATTGAATGTCATAAAAAGAACTAGGATAATTATCCCAAAATGGCTTTTGACAAGAGAAATTTAGAAACCTGGATTAATTTAACCCTGGGTTAGAGCTAATCGGCCTTTGAACAACTGGGCCCAGCAGATGTTTAACAAGTGAGAATCAGAGTTTCATTTTCATTGAATTAAGTTGAGAGGAAAACTCTTATGAGAATAGTTACATTGCAGAACCATCTTATTGATGCTGCCGAATACTTGGTCAAAGTTTCACTGCTGGGATGATAATATTGCCAGCTTCAAAATTCTAACTTTACACATGTGTTGTTGTTAATTGATAGTCATATTAACTTGTGTTTTACAGGCTTTCTGAATAATTCTGGTAAAAAAGGACACAAGAACCTTTACAGAAACAATCTTGATCTGAAATACTTTTCAATTTCTGATCTGAACCATTGAAGCTTAATCTTCGCTGTATCTGAAGCAACATAATCTGGGGGGACATCTACATTTATTTCTGCATCAGCCATAAATAATGAAAAGCAGGCTTAAAAAAACTGTAGCAAACACACTTAGTCCAGAAATTTCATTTGAAGGACATGAATCAGACAGTAGAGAATGAAATGACCTCAACAATAAATAAGCTTCTAATTAGTAACTTACAGTAATACCATCAAGCTGTAACAGAGATCTGAGTTTGCAATTTTTCCAATAGCACTTGTCATTGTTACTAAATCTGAGGATCATCCTCTTTTCAGCAGCATTATGTGACCGGGGGTAGGAGTTTTGGTTACCCTCTGCATTACGTGGTGTAACCCTGACACTTTGCCCATGTAGAAAATAGCTTTATGATATTCATTATGGGTATAATATCTTGGTGCGTAGGTTTTCATAACCACATTAATGAAGACAACTTACTTTCTATTGTTCAAACGGCTGATTGCTCAAATTTGACAATGCTGTCTATTTCTGGACGCTCACTGTATTTTTCTGTGCCTCGATATCTTTGTGTTGTTGTTAATCTGATTGATGGAGTCATGGATGGCATTCTTGAGTTATTTTTCAATGTAACGAGTTTAAAAGCGCTCCAAAAGTCTTGTTTAAAGAATGTATACAACAAGGGATTAACGGCAGAACTGAGATATCTGACGATGACAAACGTTTGAGATGCTTTGGACAAAGACGCCTGATCTTTGATATCTATCCATCCCTTCGTGGACAGGGCGTAGATTAATCGTAGAGTGAACCAAGGTATCCAACAAATTGCAAAAGTAGTCGCCATTGCAAGTAGAATTACGAGACATTTCCTTTCACCGTTAGCTTTCTTAAAAACGCGGGAATTCTTCTGGCCAGATGATTCTTTTGACGAACGCTTCAAAGATACCGCTTTAAACATAATGCCGTAGGCGTAAAGGATAAACGAATACGGAACAAAAAACACAAAGCAAAGACAGAAAATAATGTGTCCAGCTTGTAAATACAAAGCAGAAGAGTCCAATGCCAGCCATGAATCCCACCAAGTTGCAGGTACAGACCCCAAGAACGCCGAGCAAAGCCATACAGATAATAATACCTTCTTCACTGTTTTCTTGGTCATCACGAAACGTACAAAGGGGTTAACAACGGCGAAATATTTGTCCATAGTAATAGCAGTGATGTGGTAAGCAATCGAAATTGAAATCACGTTATGGAAGACCTCTGAGGTACAGTAGATCACAGAAAATGAAGGGCTAGACTGAGGCAGATGAACCAAAACCAGCAACAACGGAATATTTATCAACCCCGTCATGATGTCGCTTGTAGCAAGGCTTAACAAGAAATAATTTGCTGGAGTGCGCAGACTCTTCATTTTACCGAAGAGATAAAACACGACTCCATTCGCTATGATGACTGAAACTGCAATAGGAACAAGTTCTGGGAATAAGTTATATTTTGGTTGATGGGACGCTGTAGGCGGTTGAAGAGACATGTTACTTGTATTGTTCATCGTGTTGTAGTCCTTCAGATACTGGATCTTTCCTTCAGTTAAGCACCAAGTAGCAACTGCCAGGAGGTGAGTAGCTGATGGCACACCAAGAATCCTATAAATGAAAGTTCTCGAACATTTTAGACAATATTGCACATTTATGATGGTCTCACATATGAGACAAAATCAGTAAGTCAGCTATTTATTGAAGTAATTGAATTTGCAGGTGTATCAGTAGTATCACATCTGTTCAATGCTCGTGGTGAATTTGATATTCTCTTTATTGTGCGATTCGATGTGTGTAATCAATGTCTATAATCCTAATTGGGGAATAAGACCCTAATTGCTACCATTGAGACAAGCTATATTACTAATCAAACAAAGGGTGAATCATACTCTCTTAGATATGCCCACGGTTCTGTCCCAGTTGTTTCTCGAAGAAGGATGATGGCACTGTCTTAAGTACAGCTGCCCTAAAAGGTACACAGACTAGTTTGTAATAATAGTAATAATAATAATAATAATGATAATAATAATAAAATATTTGTATAGCGCACAATCTACTATTTGTCCATGGCGCTTTACATCAATAAATCAAAAATCATCTATTTATTTAACTGATTATTCGGTCTAATACCATTTTGAAAACGGCGTATGGTTCATTTTTTGGGTAACTGCTTTACATTTTAGGCATTCGTATGGGTTTTAAAACTCATCTGTAACTGATAGCAGATAGTAGATTCACCTCCTATAAATTTGAACTCTTATCGAGATTCTCAAAATTAAAAAAAAAATTAGAATGTCCTCAGAAAAAATGTAAAATAGAAATTTTGAAATTCTGAGAGATAATGATTTCTGAGGCTTGGGGATCGCAGTTGATTTTTTCTGGTTTCTGCCTCCTATAGAAGTTGAAGTTGATGAGATGTCTGAGCGAGTGTAACAATACATTTCGGATCTTGACCCAATTTTAACCCGATATTTCCCGGTGCTTGTTACTCGTTTTTGTCAAGTATCTTAGTAGCTCGACATTCGCACTCGATACACAGTTGAGTTCTGTCCTTTTGATATTTTTGGATTGTAGGCACCAGCCGTGACAGTACAGAAGACAGGAGAAAGCGATAAGCATCTTATAGCTATTTCAATCATTTCAGGCTCGTTCACGCTTTATAAAAAAGGAGTTCCTTGCAGAAATATCTTAAGTGTGATCAGTGTATCATAAAAATTCGAGGAATAAAGTGTGTTATCACTCCCGAATCTTGCAACCTCTAGTGTGCAACCTGATCGTAATCAAAATTATTGTTGCACATACAATGCATTCATATATTCTAAACAGATTTCTTATAAATTTCTTTTAGCCTCGTTAAGCTTCGATAACGGAGTAGCTCGCCCTAAAATAGCTTAGGTATCAAACAGCTTCAATGTTCATTGTAGCTTCACTTAGTAAACTGACTGACAAAAAAAGTAAAAAACCAAATGTAAATACGGGTGATTAGAGGATAACTTGATGTAAGGAGAAAATTCTTGGATTTCCAGGTGTTTAAATATTATCACCACCAATTCTCCAGTTATGCAACCGACATTTGGCAAAAGATTGTGATTAAATTTAAGTGTTGAATTCTTAAAATTACGATTATGCTCTGCTTGTGTAAACTGACTCATGAGATAAGGTTGTAAAGGAGAAATGTAAAAAAAAACCTACATGGAGCATCAGTATAGTTAAGGTTAAGCCAACACGTATTATAGTCTTTTATTTAAGAAAAACAGCACATTAATCTGAAACAACTCAAAACGTAGGCGTCCATTCTTGCCAGTAGAGTGGGTGGTGTAGAGCTAAACAATATACTCCAGGTTCAAATGTGACACACTGCAAGCCTACCTAAAGCTGAAAGGATCAGCTCTCTCGGCAGGGTTCTTGATGAGAAAAAGACAAACAAAAAAAAGAAAAGTTATGAATGTGTAGTCTGATCGTCCGGGTGAGTGTAGTCCTGAGAAGGACTGTTGTCGGTGGTAGTGACTGATGTTTCGACAACCTGTGCGGAACGTCAGTGACTACCTTGACTCATTCACTTGACTCTGATGATGACTTCCGCACAGGTTGTCGAAATGTCAGTCACTACCACCGACAACAGTCCTTCTCAGGACTACGCTCGCCCGGACGATCAGACTACACCTTCACATGTTACCCCCGGGTTCAAGCCATTTACTGCAGAAAGAAAGGTTATTATGATAATCAAGATGTTAAAACTTATGGCGAATGACAATAGATGGTATTGACGGAATGAAAATTAAAATGAGTCTTTTCTTTTCCGAGTTAGTCGTTATTTGTAAATACGTGGGATAGCCTATCTACAATGTTTTTAATTTTAATTAAATGACATTTAAATCTAAAATGTAGACACCGAAACAAGGACAAAGACACCTCTCTGACTGGAAGTTTGTTAATGGTATCGAACAAGTCGAAAAATAAAATCAAGTTAATCTTCCCCTAGACACCTACGTGGTGACATCTAAAAGCTATAACTTCAACAAATTTCATGCATTTTCTCTGAGCGGCTGTGCCTGAAAACTAGTCTGAAGTTGTAATTAGCTTCGTCTCATGATCGCCATCTTTCAAAGATTATAATTTATGTATCCATGTATGTCTTCCCAAACACACAAGTTTTATAATAAAACTGAGCGGCTGTGGGTTTTACGGGAACACCAGCCAGTTTGTTTGGGAAAAAAGTTTCACTACCTGACGTTTCCGATTTGGGTCAGATTGTTATGCCAAAGACGATCGTTGAAACTTGCTAGAATATGACATTTGACAGAAAACGGTTAATTTTCCAGCTGACAGCATGAAAAAACGTCAAACGAAAGTCGTACTTTATCAAAAGCCTCATTGATCCGAAATGCTAAGTACAAATAAGCTGCTATCCGCACTGAGTGAAGAACGTGAGGAGTAACTTGCGAAGAACTCAATGTCTATATTACTTATGTTTTAATCCTGCTGGCCCTTAAGAAACAATGATAAATTACTTTAAGTCTCACAAAAAACAAGAGACTATTTACCTCCAAAGATTTCCTTCCTTTTTGGTTGATGATAAGTCCTTGATCGCTTTACCAGCGCTTTACCTCTTCTAATTCAGTGCCAGTGATACAACGAAAACAAGCTTCACACAGCTGTTGAACCCTGTTATAATTAAAAACTTAACATTTACGTAGGTGTTACTTGGTTCATCGAATATTCAGCTTATCTGTCTTTAGAAGTACGAAAGTCACGCTGAATTTTACGTATGCTGGCTTCGCTTTTTCGACGAGTTCGCTCTTTTGAATTACTCGAAATGAAATATTTCACTGATATGATGTGGAAAAGAAAAATTTTGTTAAGGGTTGCCAGGTGATCTGTATGTATTGGGATTAACGTCTTTTAAATTTGTCAGTCTTCCCGTCGCCAGGCTGCATTTCCTTTGAGCTTAAGTGCTATACAGTCATCTTTGTTTAGAATGCACAGAATCGCTTTATAATTAACCTTAAGACTAGATTGGTTCATTGAAATTCGTTAAGCTTTGTTACTCTACCTCATGAACTAAATACAAAATGAGTTATCTTGAAATATTATGGTAGCTTCCTTGTTAAGCTTAAAGCTTCTGAAAACTATTGAAACCGTCTGACCCTAAAACAGTACACGGATTCATCTGAAGAAACAGACATGTTTTTGGTCTCAATCTAACTCCTGTCAAGAATGACGCGGAGTAAGCAACGATGGCTCTGAATAGGTGTAGGAAACATAATACGCCTTCCGGTGTTTCCTTTTTTTTTTATTTTGTGTCGTGTTTTAACGTCCTGAGGGTTAAAAGCGCTCTTAAGTACTTTTTGATGCCTGAAACAGAGCACGGTCGAGTCTGACTAATGGACGTGGTTCGTGGGCCGCTAGGTACAAGTCGTGGGTGATCAGTGAAAATAATTGAAATCAAATTTATAATTGATCATCATGTTGCAAAAATATCACGCACGGCACATTCTGCTCTAAGGAATTTGTTACGTTCTTTACTGACTAGTCTGACTGGTGGTCACAAATATTGACCAGACGAAGGGAAAAATAATCATACAAACTCAACGAGAGTATTCGATATTTTGTGTTTTCTTTAAGGATTCCTGATTAGTATGGATTCCTTTAAGTAAAGTTATGGACGCACACAATGTTTCTTGTACGATTTTCACAATATCCAAATCGCGATATGATCACTCTTAAAATCTGCTCGCTATTTTAAAWTWKKAKSYAKKKRATTACCGAATAAATCCAATTTTATTTAGAAGATTAAACTAGCAACAGAACTTGAACATTTTCTTACGACGGCCTTAACGAAGTATGCTGAGTCGCGATGATGAGGGAACCTAGCTGCGGACCTCAGCACATTATACGATTAGTAGCAAGGAAAGTGTTAGGGAGGAGAATAAGAACGTCTCCTTTCCCAGGCTACAGCTACGGTTCAACGAGCCCTGTTAAATAAACTACCAGGCAATGGCTGGTATCCCCTTGATTTTGGGCTCTTTTGTTTTTGAATAACAATAGCCATCGAACAAGTAAACTTATCATTTTTTCATATGCATCTAGATAAAGAACACATCTAGATAAAGAAGGCTTTAAAAAACACATACTGCATCTGCCTTAGAGGGCCGCTTCAACAACTCTATGTAATCGTTCTCAGAATTTTAAATATAATCTTGCAGCGCCTCTATCGTGGCAAGGATTGCTAACTCATGTCATCGCCAATCCCGGTCCTTTTCCCAAGTTGAGGTTTTTTCTTTCTGTACCCGCTTTATCGGTATCCATGTTAGAGTAGGGGCTGGTCGTTTCTCGGATTTCTTAATTTGTAGTCAATAAAATATCAAAGGTACAACCTTTTTTGTGAGCTTTCCTCTCCGGGATAAATAATGGATTTACTATTTTCTTTTAATGATGAAGATACAAATTCGTCGTTGTTTTCTTAGTATTTACTCGTTTTATGCTCCCTTCTCGATAGTTTATCGGCAAGACCAATCCATTATCGAAGCACATAGTTTGAAACCGCTTCAAAATATCTTCCTGTACGTTTCTCTTTTTTATCACAAAGGACAGGGATATGGTAAATTGAGCACGGATTCTACGACGCCAGAGTGCGTTGGAGGGTGAGTGTGAGCTCTGCTGACATCATAGAGAGTTTTACCGTAACGGCATGTTTCCATACGGCCTTGTTCGGTTTCGTGCGAAAAAAATACTCGTTGTAGTAGGGACCTTCGTTTTGACTAGCATTCCTTTTAACACATAAACGGAGATATTGCCACTTAATCAAGTACTCAACTGACAGTTTGAAAGGCAAACTTATCAAAAAACAAAACAAAAACCAAAGGAATACTCATCGAGATTCACGAAATGCTGCCATATCAGCTTGTGATTCAAGTAAGCGCTCAAGCCCAGCACGTGATTTCAATTACACTGAGCTGTATTGAGGAAGCTTATAAACCGTACTTTTCAGTTTAGAAAGTGTGATGTGAAGTTTTTCTGTTTGTTTTGAAAATAGAAAGTGGAAATAGCCCCAGGGTAGTCTTGGTTTGGGAAAAGCGATTCTGTTAAAAAAAAAGTGTCCTTACCTTTGGGGAAACGCCATGTATCTTTGGGTGAAAAGGCCAAGTAAACACAGCTAACACGTTTTCGTTAGTGCTTAAACGTCGGCAGGAACATTGATATTAAAGTCCAAGATCAATTCCCTGCGTGACTCTACTTTTTTGAAATCATCTATGCACCCTCTGCATAAAATAAATCCGGAAAGTAGATGGTGTTTGCTCATCTTGCAGACAGGTTGTCGAGATTAACTCAGCAGGAAATATCTTAATCAATAGCTGATGATTCAACCTACGCAAGGAAAACAATTTGGAGTTGATTGACGGAAAGGATCGTCATGGGTGGAAATGGTCTGTTCCAGACGTCTATCCCAAAAATTGAGCACCAATTTATTTGTCAGTACAAGAACAATAACGTCACAAGCCACACATCAGGATACAACATTAACATGAATTTATTTATCGTTTTTCCCATCGGTTGTTTATAATCAGTATATTAAGGAGCTCTTTATTCTTATCTTGATGATTGTTATGCGGTTTTAAAGAAATTTTGGCTGGAGCCTTCAGTTAAATCATTCGGGTGAATGTTGAAAATGAAAGTTTTAATTTCTGTTCTACTAAGTTACTTAACAATTGCAAGACATTTTTTGTGAAATTAAACTCCTCATGTTGTAAATGAGCTTATTTCTTTAATCTTTCTTTTGATCGACAACTTAATGAATCTTTAATTAATGAATCTTTGCAAGATTAAACATGTGACGAAAAAGTGCAAATTTCCGTTTCAGGGATGATTGTTTTGCCTCATTTTTGGAGGGAGGCGTTGACAGTAATAATTAATATCGATTATATTTGAGAAAAGAAGAACCCCACAGGGCGGGTTGCCTTGTTCAAAGCTAAACCGTGAAATGATGTTGAGCTTGTTACTGAATCAAAACCTCATCAAGAAGAATTTCCACTCGATATGTCGTACATTTAAATTTTGTTTAATGAAGAACCCGTGTATCCTCTGGTGTTAAAGGAAGCTGGTGTTTTGGATACACCTGCTTATCGCAGTAACATGAAAATGCAAATTTGTTTCTATATAATTGATTGCACAATGTAACATGCAAAACGAGGAGGATTTCAGAATACTTCGCCCGCAAGGTTCATCGATAAGTTGATTTATTCAAACTCTATCGATCATTTGCTTTCTAACAGAGGCTACTGACAACGCAAACCATAAACAAATTCAGGTAAACTCTCAGCTTTAGCAAGAAACTAAAATCATTATTACGGTAGGCCTTTCTACGTAGTTACTCGTACGTTTTCGATATTTTTTAAGTGATATTTTGCATTCCGTCCGACCCTAAAACTTAGAGTAGACGTTTACATACTCGACAAAGTGAGAACTCATTTTTTTTCTCAGATGTCGGTAATAATGATAGCCCAAAATTTTCTTCTCACAACCTCTTAACAATTGTAAAGTCTTGTGCGATGAAGGTTTTATCCCCCTTTCAGAAGTTTAGGGAAAAATTTTACACATTTGTAGTACCTAATTTGACATTTTTATTTTCGCAAACCCCGCAAGGTAACGCAAAAAGGAAAATTAACGCACAAGACGAGTACTTTTAACAACTTCCCATTAAGTACCTTGTTGCTTAAAGCTCTCAGGAAAATTGATGTTATCAAAAAGTTGTGTAATTTACTTACCCTGAACTTGCCCGTTGAAGAGAAGATCGTGTATTGAGGCGAGAATCTAATTGGAAGAGTGATCGTCTGCTCGTCATTAATTTAAAGCCGTGCTTCATTCCCACAAATGCGGCTAAACTTCTAAATTTCATAGGAGGCGAGTAGAAAGGGAGGATAAACGCCTCTTCGAGAAAAATGATTTGACTTGAGTCGTAAATATTTCAAAATAGTCGGAAACCTGAAAATAAGACAAATAATAGTTTGCTTAGAAAAACATCAAAGAGGTATGAATGAACTCAACAGAGACGAAGATGTACAAACTGTGAGGATGCTATGTTTAACTACGTTGCTGTTTCTTATTTTCTATCTTTCCTTCCTCAGAAGATAAGTCATAAGCTAAATGCTTACTGCACCGTGGTATTAAAATCCGATTACGAAGGGCTGTATACCAAACACATTATCAACGTAAGGTTTGAGATTTTTCTATATTTCATCCTCCCGACATGGCCTCCTTTTCATCTGCTGCTCTTTTTTTTATTTTTTTTTATTTTTGCTTTTGATTGGACCACCTTGCAATTACCTCGTACAAATGGCTCAGCTTCGTTACACTTGGAAGCGCATTAAAAGCCTGAGTCCATTACATCGGGTCGAGGCTTTTTGGGCTAACTTTCCCATAGGATGAAAGAAAAACTGCGAACTTCAACTTTCAATTTTAGCTCTTCTTTTATTTCAATGAGACTTCATAACAAACAGCAATCGAGAAGACAATTTCACTTCGCTGTTTCACCTTTAATTCTCCTGGGTCCGTTTAGATGCGAGTCTCCTTGCTCCTTGGGGCATCCTCTGGTTGAAATTCAAACCATTTTTCACCTAATGGTAATCGCATTTTTCAGCAAAGTCCCAATGCCTGGTGATACAATCTACATTCATCGCTCTCCTACGCGGTCCAGTTGTCAAACCTGTTCTTAAGCAGCAACAAAAGAGACTCCTTTTCTTTCTCCTCCTTCTTTTTCTGTCAGTCCACGTTCAGGTCTCTCTCTTTGCCCGAGAAATTTGTGTCAAAGGCCTTCTCTTTCCACTCTGTGTTACTGTCAGCTTTCTTTCGTTCATCTAAGTCTTTCAAAGAGAGGATGAAGAGAGAAACTCATGGTTTCTTGATTCATTAGTTTCTCACAATAATATAGTGCGGTACTTTTTCCTTATTGGTCACTGCAATTGTTATTATTATCATAATCGTTATAAATTTTGTAATCATTATTATTTTTTGATATAATTATTACTATCATAATTGTTCTTGTTGTTAAAATTGTTATCAGTTTTACTTCGTCCAATAATCAGTGTAAGGAGCCCTCCATCTGTCCCACAACATAAAACTTGTCAACTCTTCATTGAAATTCCTAGTCTTTTATAGCGCGGCTCAAGTGAAGAAAAGCCAAGCTGGCCAAGCTGAGCGATCGCGTAATTTGCATAGCAGATGGTCAGCAAGACCTGGGTTTGCCAAAAACAAAAACAAACAAAAATAAGCGCTATTCAACGAAATCGATGATAATTCGTCGTGCTCCTCCTTGCTTAATCATCGAACCTTTCAAGGACTTCCAGGCAGTCAAAAGTTTCCAAAGAATTATCGCAGAGGAAGCAATTTCAATAACAGAGTAAGACAACTACGCATGCATGTATGCTAACGATTTTCATGTGTTTCTTCCAGCAATAAGATGTACCAGACCGTAAACAATAGAACAAATACTATTAATATCAGCGTGCGTATTTTCCCTTTCTGTTCTCGGTACATCTATGATTGCTCTGATGAGGTGGTTAAGTAGCATTTTGTGTACACCGACCAAATGACAGACTATATCTCCATGATAACTATTGTGATTAGTATAACGTGTCAAGTTGGTCACGTGATCAAAATGGGTTGCGTGATCAATTTGAATAATTGTGGTAAATTTCTAGCTTTACCCTCATAATATCCTGCTATAATTACCTGACCACTGATCAGAACAGCTGCTTCTAAGCACTAATATCCTAAAGTTCAATAGTTATTTCGAACATTGTTACGATTTTGTTTATGTTGATAAAGTTTTGAGTACGACGTTCAGCGATAACTCAAGTTGTATATGGAAATGATGTTACGATGACAGAGGACTATATTACTGAAGTTATCCTTTAACTTGAGCAGAGGATTGTTTTCGTTGATAAGATACAACAAGAGACATATGGCAGCGGCAGGAATTTCAGCACATCTAGCTCAGTCTCTACTTTGAGCCAACAGAGTTAGTGACCTTCCACTGGGGCTTTAACTTCTGTTCGTTCCAGAATTATCGTTTTAATTCAGCAGAACCACCGGTTACGTAATGCGATAAAATATACATTTATGCGGACATCACATTAAAAAAATAAATAAATAAATAAATAAATAAATAAATCCGCAATGCGTACAAGTGTGGTTTACGAAATTTAGCTTCTTTTAGTGTCTGGTGTCTTATTGAGTTTCTTTTAGAAGAGCTGATATCTGACTACGGTTAGATAATTTTCAATATTGTTCCTGTTCATGAATAAAACAAGATAACTAGCATACAATAGTCCTGAAACGCTCATTTTTAAGTTGAGGGTTAGAGGCCAAACTTTGTTCTGGAGGTCTCATTTTGACAACAAAGGCTGCACGTGTAGCCTGAAGATTTTAAGAACTTAAAAAAAACCTCAGCATCGTCTCCCATAGTGGCCTGATAGATTCAGTCATGATTTTGTTTACGTAGGGAAGTGGAAATGAGTTTTAAAGCTTGCAGGTTAATTGTCTTTTCCAAGGCAAGTGATGTGAAATTAACTCTCGGGAAGCTTTTCATATGAATATTTTTGGCATTTTGTCTACCATTACACGAGGAAAAAACTTTGCAAAAGGGCTGCGACATTCGGGAAATGATGTAATCTACACTAGAAGCCATTGGGAGCTTGATTTGGTCTGAATGAATGACTAATTTTGGACAATACATACGTGTAAAGTAACACAATGCTGTTATCTTATTAATGAAATTATAATTTCATGTCAGTGTGTTTCCCAAATTCAAGCTACGTGGAAACATGAAATGAATAGGTGAGCTTGACATCATCATGTAAATGGTCAATTCGACATACATAAATGGTCAATTTGTCCTTCAGCTGAAATCTTACTCAGGAAGGCAATTCTCAGTAGTGTTTATCAATATACATAAAATATCCAAGCTTTTGTTTAGTTTGGTCAGCAACTGTGTGTCAGCACAACCTAGTTCGTGTAAATCTGATCGGTTTCTAGTGTGATCTATTGTTGCTGAGCCTAGTTTACCTTTGTACTTGAGTTTTGCACTAGTGATACATGAAAAGGCGCCTAGCTGTTTCCAGCCAATCAAGAGTGTAATTTTTTATGTATATCAGTATTGTGATGAATTAACCAAAACCAAACAAGTAACTGAAAGGAGTTGTTGTCCACCAAATAAAGGCCTAACACACGGTATTGCTACCAAGTTCAAATATCGATACTTATTTGAACCATTATGAAGAGAATTTAGAAGACTGTCAAACCTACAGGAAGTCATGAAATGTTAAGGTCTGAATAATTCTGGGTATAACTTGTAAAACATAATATTAATCGCATTTCAGTTGTAACATTAATCTACTAGGCTCCTTTTCGTATTTTAATAAAAGCGAAACCACTTTGTTACTGAATTTCAATGTATTGCTTCCTCAAAGTTTTGGGGTCAATCATAATAGACATTTAGGACCAAGGTTTTTATGTTAACGACAAACTGCAGTTTCAGGTCAGAAGTTAGACGTTTGTGAATCGGTCTAGCTATGTAAACATGAAAGAGTAATTTCTTTTGAAGAGGCCGTCATCTTAAATTTCCGGACAACAGCAGTGTTTGATTTTTAAATGGCAACAAAAAGTCCTATTTTAACTCATTGTCTTAAAATTGTATTTAGGCATGCACTAAAAAGACTGGTTAAGTAATTCTCTTAATGAGCATGTGGTATGAACAGAAATTCAGGTTGAAAAAACCTTCCAGTAATGCGACCGCACCCCGTAGTCACGTGAATTCTAGTGGTACATAAATTGGGTAAACTGAAACATTATTTCATTCCTTATTTTGTATTGTCCAACAACTTGATTTAATGTTGGTAAATAAAAGACTCCTCGCTGTTATCCGCACTTAGAAGACAAGCTGACCGTAAGAAAGCCGGCGTGTGAAATCCAAGCAACAAAGATGAACGAATAAATAAATAAACAAATAAATAAATACATAAATTGAAGCTCCCTCTTCGGGGCTTTTCAGCCACAATGGGAACTAACTTAGTGCTTAGAAATCCCCACTGGCAGGAGGCAGACTAGTGGGCTATTTACAGAGCGCAGCCGAGGAGTTGAACTAGGAGCAACCGAGAACAAATCCAGTGAGTGGCAGGGTAGAGGATTTGAACCGGGACACCGGATTACAAGTCTAGCACCCTAACCACTTGGCCACGCCGCCTCCTAACGAGATACATACGTATATTTATTGAACAAATCTCCATCTGGGGCTTTTCAGTGAACAAATTGGATTACATAATTAGAATACATACAATACAATACAAATCATATCTTTAAAATAAAATATGGTCAGTTTAAAAATTCATTCAAAGGTGATTTTTCAGAGCTCTCTTAAAGGAAGCGGGACTCGTTTTCGTTATTAGGTACATACATACATACATACATACATACATACATACATACATACATACGTTAATTGACCACTCCCCCATAGGGCTTTTCAGGGCCATTCTTACAACACTGTGTCCCACCCGTCCCACCCCAGGAGAGGACATCTACCACACAGTAATCTCGTGAGGGGGAAATTAACGCCTCTTACCCCTAACCCTGCAGGAGACGGGGCCTACGGTTTATTCATCCTTATCCGAGAAGACTAGATTCTCTATCCATTTCTTGATATTATAGAAAGGTAGCAAATTCTCCTCAGTTATTTTAAGACCATGAGTATTGGTCCGGCCGGGACTCGAACCCTTGACCACCCGCACAACACAATCCGGCGCTCTAACCAATTCAGCTAACGGGGGGGCGGTTCTGTTCCAGATAGATACACTTTTATAATAAAACGTTTTCTGTCCTGTTGCAATTTTAAAAAAAGGAATGTTTATTCGTTGAAAGTTTCTGGTTATACGTCCAGATACACTGCCTCTTGTTATATAGATAGATGTTAAGTAGCATCTCGGCAATACAGTTGTGTTTTTACAGGGAGCCCATCTAAGTTTCTCAATACAGGAGAGATATGGTCATACTTCTTTACGTTGCAGATAATTCGCGCGGCAAAGTTTTGAACGTATTGCAATTTACGAATATTACAGGCTGAGGTGGAGGACCATACTGATGAACAGTAATATAGTTTACTGAAAACAAGCGCGTTCATCGAAAACGAATCTATTACGGCTTATTTGAGGTAATTTTGACATGCAAGATCTAGACGATACTGCAGTAGATATGTGATTATCAAAAGATAGCGTGGACCAATAATTACTCCAAGGTCTTTGACTGATTGAGCCGGTTGATGTCTTTTCCTTGTGGGGATAATTTAAATTTTAATGCCGAAAACCATTAGTTTTGTCTTATCTGGATTAAGCATTAAACAATTATCAAAACACCAGTTGCGAATCCGTTGTAAGTCGAAATTAACACTTTCAGTGATCCGAGCAGAGTCGTTCACGGTAAAAGACAATAGGATCTTGGCGTCATCCACGTAGCAAGTGGTTGCACAATTTTGACAAACATTTGGTCGGTTTTTTACATAAATACTGAATAGTACTGCTCCAAGGACACTTCCCCGCTGGTACGTCACTGGCTATTGGCAATTCATCAGATAAAACAGAGGTTATACGGACTGCCTGGTATCTGTGAGGAAGATCATTAGCTTTCGAAACACTGAAGTGCAGAGGGTGATAGACCGATGTTCTTAATTTTTTTTATGGGAATTACATAATTTATACTGTCAAAAGCTTTGCTCATATCAAGATATACGACCGCAGTAGTTTTCTTCTGGTCCATAGCGTGGAGAATAAAATCAGTGGTAGAAATTAGCGATGTTTCGGTAGAGTGCCGCTTTGTTTCACTGATATTCTCTGGTTGGATGTTAGATACGGAGTCAGCTGGTTCAATACTGCTCTTTCGTATACCCTTAGAGAGTATTGGCAGCAGTGAAATTGGTCTGTAATTACTGGCTTCTTCATAATCTCCGTTCTTAAGAATTGGACAGACTTCGGCAATTTTCTAAAAAGTTGGAAAAACTCCGCTTGTAAGAAAAGCGTTAATAATGCCAGTTATACTAGGGGCAATAATCGGTAAACTCTCTTTGATTAAGCGAGATGATACCTTATCAATTTCTGGGGCTTTCTTGTTAGGTATTGAATTAACTATACCTTTAGCCTGAGAGCATTCCACTGTGGTAAAAGAGAACTGGTTAGCGACATGTACAGGGATCTTGCGCGGGCACACAATTGAATTTTCTTGCAAGAAGTTGGGTCTTTTCCATCGTATATTTCCCAACCGAGCTCAAAAACCGGTTGAATTCATTTGCGATTGTTCGATCGTCTTTAGTAAAACTTTTAATATTCGCAGGCTTTTTCGGAATGCTCGACCTGACTGTTTTCCAGATATTTCCAACATCGTTAGGGTTCTGTTTTATTTGTTCTTCTACGAACTCCCTTTGCGCGAGTCGAATTTCCCGTTTGACTTCAAGTCTGTTATTCTGGTGGGATTTTCGATTAGCTGCGTTAGGTTAAAGGTATTGCAGAAGTACCATTGATTGCAGTTATGGTCGCTTACAATAAAGAGGGGAATATCTAGTGACATGCCTGAAGTCAAAGCGTTCTAAATACCCATAAATACAAAATTAAGGATGGGCCGATACCGCTACCAAATATTCGATGCCAGCGATACCGAGGTCGAATCGAAAACTATCGATAACATTGAGTATCGATTCTTTCGATACTGCACGTGACCTACCCGCGCTTTAATCTCCCGCGACTAACCGCTGACAATTAGCCGAAAAGACCCCGGGCTTGAGATCTTGCATGTGCGCGTTTGTGTGCAATGTAGGATTGCCGCAGTGTCAAAAGTGGCGGTTTCTTCAATTCTTTCGTGCAACATTTCACTGTGAAATAGGAAAATAGGACTCGATTTTATTAACTGTAAATGTAAGGCCACTCAGTAATACGGCAACAAAATCACAACTCACAACAATCCAGACATTACAAGGACGTATCTGGAGAAACAAAAATGAGTGGCAAACTACTATGCCTGCTTACTAAAGAAAAAGCTCGGGCGAGAAAAGAACTGAGAAGGGTTAAATAGTTTTAAAGTATGCCACCTCTCTATGTTCCTTTATGCCAGGGAGTCTCTGATGTATCGAGTATGGAAGCGCAGGATCCATAGTAAGTCGGGCACCCGTGTTTGGTTACTATTAGTGACCTGAGTAGTGACTGATAGCCTTTCATTGTACGCCTTATGATCATGAATGCAAGTGAAAGTTGCAGATTGCTTAATATAGTAGGTAGAAAGGTCCCACCATTGCGGTCACCTTCATTTCCTGGGGAAAATTAAATGTGAGTCCCAATAAATTGAAAGTTTTGACTTGTTTGACTGTCTTGTTGATGTTGCTATAGCGAACTGAATAGAAAATCATGCGAGAGTGCCTTCATTTGGTGAATCGGAGCGCGTGACTCACTACTTATTTCAGTACTAGTGACGCCACAGAATCGGTATCGATAACGATATCGAAGAAAAAAGTAAATATCGTACTCGGTATCGTATCGATTCGAAAAAACCGTATCGGCCCATCCTTAATACAAAATTGCCGCTTTCTGAAGCTTTGAAGCTTACGTAACTTAGACGAGCGCAGACTGGAACCGAACTGACAACCGAACTGACAACCGCTCTGTTCACCATGACAAATCCCGCCAGCCAGCCAGGAAAAAAATATCTTGGATCATGACATAGTGCGGTTTACAGTTCGTGTCAGGCACACAAAAATTACTCGGAGAAAATAACAATAGTCCGCATGATAACCTCCCGAATATTCGCACGCGAATAAACATTCAGCGCACCGTTCATTTCTTATGTGATAAAACCAGGTGAGGTTGAAAAAGAAAGCTCTATCTAATCAGCAGTAGCTTAGAATTCTGGACTCGCTATAAAATAGGTATTTTTCGAAATAACTTCCCTTATTGCTATCTTGGTGATTTCGCCCGCGTATTGAGCTTTTGTCGCGGTAATAGTCAAATAATACCAGATGAGCTCACACAGAGCTAACGGCCACGTAATTACAGCGCTCATGAATTCGATCACGATGGGAGAGGCAATCCAAAACTTGAAAACACCTTAAAAGTAGATCAGACTAAGCTCTACAGAGATCAATAATTATCTTACTACTTAGGGTTTGCACACCAGGTTTTAGGAAGGTAATTCATAAAAGGGAAAAGATGAAGCAAGATCTAAATAGCCCAGATGGCCATTTTTGGAGTAATGTTTTCTTGGAAACACTATTAATGTGTAGATCAGACTAAGCTCTACAGAGATCAATACTTATCTTACTACTTAAGGTTTGCACACCAGGTTTTAGGAAGGTAATTCATAAAAGAGAAAAGATGAAGCAAGATTTAAATAGCCCAGATGGCTATTTTTGGAGTAATGTTTTCTTGGAAACACTATTAATGGGCATCATTGTTTGAAGCGAGTCTTACTGGCGAGTCGTGTGGCAGGGCTTGCTGAAATGTGAATGGCTAAAGGAACAAAACAATCACACAGAACATTCTCTCAGACTTATAAGTAAAAAAAAAACAAACAATTTTATGCCAATATCACCATTCTTGGTTTGCACAATGGATTTATTTTACCACAAACAATTGACTCAGATTTTAATCTTGCACCTTGTTCTGCGTAACTCAAATCAAAGTAAGATCTACCTGGATCTGTGTGTACCAAACAACGAGTTGTAAATTCTTTTACGTTTAATATTGGTAGATTATAGGTAACTGAAATAACATGCTTTACTTATATTCTTAGTTTGATAAACATCGAAGTCTGGATAAAGCGTTAACTGTAGACGATAATTGCCGTCTAACATCTGTCATCGTTACGTTTTCAGGAATTCCTATAACCTACTGGAAAAGGTGACGGATTTAATCCTTGATGAACAGAAAGTGTACTTGAAGAACTATAAAACGATGAACAATTCAAGTAATATATCTCTTCAACAGCCTACAGTGTTCCATCAACCAAAAAGTAACTTAATCCCACAACTTGTTCCTATTGCTGTTTTAATCATCATAGCAAATGGAGTCGTGTTTTACCTTTTCGGCAAAATGAAGAGTCTGCGCACTCCTGCAAATTATTTCTTGCTAAGCCTTGCTATAAGCGACATCATGACGGGGTTGATAAATATTCCGTTGTTCCTGGTTTTGATTTATATGCTTCAGCTTAGTCCGTCATTTTACTGTACCTCAGAGATCTTTCATAACGTGATTTCATTTTCGATTGCTTACCACATCACTGCTATTACAATGGACAAATATTTCGCCGTTGTCAACCCATTTGGACATTTCTTGATGACTAACAAAACAGCGAGGAAGACATTATCATCCGTATGGCTTTTCTCGGCGTTCTTGGGGTCTTTACCCGCTATTTGGTGGGATTCATGGCTTGAATTGGACTCTTCTGCTTTATATTTACAAGCTGGACATATTATTTTCTGTCTTTCCTTCGTGTTTTTTGTCCCGTATACGTTTATCCTTTACGCTTACGGGGTCATGTTTAAAGCGGTTTCTTTGAAGCGTTCGTCAAAAGAATCATCTGGCCAGAAAGATTCCCGCGCTTTTAAGAAAGCTAACAACGAAAGGAAATGTCTCATAATTCTGCTTCTAATGGCGACTGCTTTTGCAGTTTGTTGGATACCTTGGTTCACTTTACGAGTAATGTACGCTCTATACATTACGGGATGGGTAGACATCAAAGATCATGTTTCTTTGTCCAAAGCATCTCAAACGTTTGTCATCGTCAGATATATCAGTTCTGCTATTAATCCCTTATTGTACACATTCTTTAAACAAGACTTTTGGAGCGCTTTTCAAATTCTAATTTTGAAAAAGCATCCAAGGAGGCAATCCGTGACTCCTTCAATCAGATTCACAGTAACACAACGATATCGAGATAGCGACCAACAAGACCAACTGCTAGTGCTGGCTGGCATCAATGCAACGGGTATGAAAAGAAAGGAAAGGCCATGGGGGAAAGGAGTGCAGTTGGTTCAGCAGCAGAAATGTAAAGGAGTGTCGGTCTAATGTGGACTTGGGCTTGGGTCGTGGTCGAGGTCTATTGTTTTCATATCTTTTTTTCTTTTTCTTTTCGTCCCTTTCGATGGATGATGAAAATAAAGACAGCGATAGTTATAATGTAATTGAATGATGGTAAGGGTTTACTATATTTGGCAAGATGCTACAAAAAGATGTTTTATGAGGAATTGGGGCACATTAGAGGCAAAGTTCAGGTCCGTTAAGTTTGTAAGAGATTGAGAATAGAAATTGGTGGAACTTATGCTTTGGATTGATTGCACGCCTGGTTATAAGTAAACGCAAAGGTTTCCCTGACCAATTTGTTGATTGCGGAATCCCTTCTTCACAATCAGACAATCACGAAGCGAGAAGCGGAAAGATGAAAAAACTAATTTCAAAATCATTTGCTGAAATCGACAAAAGTCTCGCTGGACTTACGTTGATTAGAAGCCAGTTTCCTACCTCTCCATTTTCCTTCCATGAAGTTTAAGCAGAGCTTATATTTTCCGAACTCCGTGTGAATATTACTTGGTGTGGTTTCTTACTGGCAACTTCTCAACCACTACTGACCTGAATTTTGCCCCATAAGTGGACTTAGTGTCCTCCTATAAAACCTATATTGCGAAGAATTGCGGAACGAATAGAGGGCCTGGGTTACAAATGAATGAGGCCTCCTTTTTTCTTCACAAGTTTTTTGTCTAATAACAATTATTTTTATTTGCTTGGACGGTTCCTTGTCTATATTTCTGGAAAGGCACCTCTTTTAAAAATGAAATTAAAATGATAACAACGCTGCAATACTGATATGATGGTACAACATTGAATGATAAATAACCGTTACTGTGTACTTGTACTGAGATTAAAATTGCTCCTTTACCACGTATTTAACCAACCTTTAGGCAAAGAAAGTATCTTCCACTTAAGAAACTGAATGGTAGCGATTGTGTGGGCTTCTTTCAAGGGTTCAAGCTCTCTTCGCTGCTAAAGTTCAACACCAGACTATACTCTGTAAATAGTCAGCTGACCGAACTTCCGCCAGTTAAAATATAACCAATCTCTCCTCTTCGACGAATTCGGTCGAGTTAGTCTAAAAAAAGTATATATAAATAAAAAAACAGCCGAGTCAAAAAGAATTGACCGATGTTAGTGCACCGTGCTTAACTCTCGGAGAAAAGCACACGAAAACTCCCAAAGTTCGAGGGTCGAATTATTATCAGCTCTGTTTTTTTGAAATGGCTTTGAAAAGCCTTATCGTCGATTGGAGAATGGGGTGGAAGGACGGCTGGTCTAAACAATGGCATTTATCTTTTCATTTCTCACCGTGGAAAAGTTTGTAAATATGAACCACAATATGGCTCTACCAGTTCAAACTTTGGTTCAGAAAGGACTATTGGACCAAGGCAAATTACTTCTCCCCCACACCCCCTCCCACCAGTCGCGGTTGCACGTTATATTCCTTAGCCGCTTACCGTTTACTTGGATTCATTAAAAAAAAGCCAGTTAAAACGTGATGTACGATCCTGTCGATGTAAGAATTTCAGTCTCAAATTTGTAAGCGTCAGGTCTGATGGGGGGGTCCGGATCCCCCGGACCCTCCCCCTGGGTCCGCCACTGTGATAACAATGATATAAATAAAAATAATAATGATAACAATAATAACGATAGTGGTGATAATAATAATGATAATAAGAAAAAGAGATATATAATAAATTCACTCTCTTCAGGCAACTACATGTGGATCAGTGTCATCCTTGATCATACACTTTATTTAAACTCATCTATTTGTATTTATTTTTCTTCACACCAAGTTTCATGTCATACTATAAAGCTCACTAATTTTATTTAATTAGTATATTTACTTTGTGAATTAAAACCTGACACTTTTTAATTATTAGCCTTAATCTAGTCGGTTTGTATTGAAGACGATATAAGTCGACAATAAAGTTTTACATCGCGTTTTATTTACCGCGCAGACATCGGTGGGGTAGTAATTAGAATTATAAATCTGTTTTTAATAATGTTAGCGTCACTTATATCCATAGTTGCCTTTACTTTTCTGGTTCGCACGATGTGATGAATCGGTGATTATAATCAATTCAACACAGTTTCATACATTACTTCCGTGGGAAGGTTCTCAGTCCATTTCCTCGGTCACAGTTTTCACTAGACGGACTTTCCACTGCGCTGGTGAATAACTTGTAAGTGTTATCTCCCGCTGTACCTCTACACTATACTTCAAAACGCCAAAGTATCCCGCCAAAAATACAGATGTCTCTTGCTAACGTTTTCCCAAGCTCTGTTTTAAAAATATTTTTGTTCACGTTGAAAAAATTGCGAAGAAGGCGTTTAGAATTTATCTCCTTTTAATTAGTTCTTTCTTTTCCTTTTTTAGTGAGAAATTGTTCAGGAGTTTCATGGACGATGTGGTAAGATTCTAGGAATCATGTTTTGTCTCCTTTATCGGTGAGAAAACAGCAAGTCATGTCGATAAAAAAGATAATTGGCAAGGGGGGGAGGGGGGGTGAGGAGGCCGGCAGGCAAGAGCCAATACAAAACACCACATGAGATCACAAAATCTGCTAATGTGATGGGATGAAGGGTATCCATTGGGTTAACCATTAGCTGTAAAAAGGCCCAAATATTTAGCCATTGGGCAGAAAATTGAGAAAATTTAAACCGTCAATCGTATGAGTAGGGAATCATAATTGTTTTTTTCTATTTAAAATTTGTCATTTTAGACTTTTAGGTGTTTGCCTTGTGGTTACGACGGTTACTCGTTCTATCCGCCTATCCTGGTACCGAAAAAGAGGACATTTGGCTCAGGCAGGTCCTGCGAAGTCTTTTTTTCCGTAAACCGGAAGTGTATGCTTTTGGGATGAGTTGACAGACGCTGACTATTTTTAGGATCTTTAGTATGTCATTCAGTGAAGTTATTCCGAAAGGCAATATCGAGCTGGGAAGAAGTAGCAAATTGGAAGTCCGAAAATGAAAATCGGAGAGGAACACCAATCTATTTCAGAATTCAAGAGAAATGTGATTGATTGTCCTGGTCGTAACGACCAAGCAAAGAAGTTCGGTTTTGGGGCATTTGACCTGAAACGTCTACCGCCTTGCAAAAATCAGTGGCAAAAACGGAGAATTGCTTAGTATCAGCCCAAAAAGCAGCTTGATCTGGAATTACTAGTGTTGCTTAACTCTGATGGTGAAAGCTGAAAAGTTGGTAGTCTACACTAAAATAGGGTAAACATGCGTTTACATTCCCGATTCCACGCACTGAATTACACGCTCATGCTGCCAGGCAGGGTCCTTTGTCCACCAGTGCATGAACTATTCAAACAGCCAGGTCTCGGTTTTCGAAGAGCGTACAAAGAATTTTCGTTGGATAAAACTATCCAGTAGCAAGAGAATTGTATATTCTCTAGTCAGTGAACATTGCATGATTATCCCTAGTGTCTTCAAAGCTGAATAACTCCGCCCTATATAAACTGTTCAACGCCAATCTGTCCAGTTCGCTCAGCATTTTCATACAGTACAAAGCTGAAATTGAACAAAGAAACACCGGTGTTTATTTCTTTTGATATATATTATAATGTGACTGCTTGTTTGAGCAGTGCATTATTTTATTCATAATCTATGGAAAATAAAAGAAACTGCAGCGAAACGACAATCTGACCTAGGACTATTAGTTTCTGTTTCATATGCAGCATGTTTCCATACATGAAGTTAAAATGGCATAAGCATGCCGAAACATGTCTAAAAAGAAAAAAAAGTTTTATATTTCTTACAATATTTATCCTACTTGCTACTACTACGACCACATGAGGTTAAATTAAAAATATTATTAATGAAGTCACAGTTGAACCTCTCCACAACGGCCACCTTGAGGACTTAAGAAGGTGTTCCGGCGCTGTGGAGAGGTGGCCGTTATGGGGAGGTAGGGGTGTAATATAAATCCTTTTCTTTTTCAGCGGCTACGAGATGTTTATTGTACCAAGTTCGTGTTAACTGTAACATAGCCTGGATGGCTGTGGTATTGCAATCATAAAGAATATATCGATAAAATAAATGAGGAAACTTAAATAATGTTTTCAATCAAATGTTAACAAAACTAGTTAGGTTCTCCACATTTGCGAGAAGTATTGTAGACAATTAATGCTTTTCGTAGCACATGAATGAAACACAATCAAAACACAAGGGTATCATTACATGTAAAATGGAAATAGAAACGTTATGTTCCGAAGACAAATGTTTTAATAGTTAATTAATTAAAATTAATTAAGTAAAATTATTGTACCAGTTTATACAACGTTCTAATGTAGAACTGAAAGATTTGCAGTGTTAAATTATCACTGAACGCGCCATACCGTCCAAATTTCGTAACTTTTTTGACTTTTTCGTCAGTCGTTGAAAAACTGGCCGTTATCGAGAGGCTTTTTTCGACAGTCGGAGACGTACGTTAATGGTCGTTGCCGTTGTGGAGAGGTCGTCTTTGTAGGGAGGTTTATAATTAGACAAGAGTAAATGTATGGACAGCCCGCCCGGACCAAAAACAGTGGCCGTTGTAGAGAGGTGGCCGCTAGTGGAGGTTCGACTGTAGTATGCTGATATCTAAAGGTTTCGTCCCATTGCAGGCACACCCCCTACCACGGGTTCGCCCCTGTAGAAAGCCCAAGTGTACTAACTGTCTTAAATGTATTGATGAATTTGAATATATGAAAATCAGATATGTGTAGTGCGGTTTCAAGAAATATATGAAAGCGATCCTCGCAGTAATGAACACTATTTACGTAGCAGTGAAAATAAGAATGGAAAAAAATTAAGGCCCATACAGGATTTGAACCCATGACCTCTGCACCGGTATCGTAGAGGTCATGGGTTCAAATCCCGTTCGGGCCTGAATTTTTTAGAGACAGAGACAGACATAAAGACAAACAAAAAACAGTGTTTCTAAAGAAACGTTTTCATGTGAATGGCTATGGTCAACATATCGCTTAAGCCTCTCCGACATGGCCATAAAACAGGGATCACTACGTTTGGGATGGAATCAATTTTTTTTGGAATCAAGCATCAAAATCATCCGAAATTTTGGAATCATGGATCACAAAATATGAATGAAAATTGGGATCATTATGTAATCCACATACTTCCTTATGACCCTATAGAAGTTTTGACTGGTACCAATTTTGTCTCTGAACGTGTAGAAAACAAGCGAATTTTAGTAGTTTCTCTACTTTTCTTTTTCAGTGGAAATTCTGTGAAAATTGCTTGGGAATATAGCCACAACTTAATTTTGTTTGCTAATTAATTCCTACTTGGCTCTCTTGCTTTTTGCTTTTTTAGGTGACACTGTTACTGCAATTGGATGTTCGTCAAGACTTGGTGTAAATCTATTAGCACTCTTTCACTAATGCTGAAATCTGATTGGCTATGCTAATCGCCGTCTATTCGGTTATAGATGACGAGTAAAACGTGTGCGGCTGTAAGCAAAGTAGAATAACATGAATCTGTTTTGTTTTTAAGTTTTGGAAGAATAGTAAATTTAATCAATATGCTGTAACAATTAAATTATGCACCTTCGATTTCAATCGCACGATAGCTGATCACCCTCGCCATCTAGCTATCACGTGATAGCAATCTCATGCTCATAGTCTAGTTGATAAATAGATGCACGCTGGGAGAAAAACACGAGATAAGCATGAGAGTTGCTTAAGTCACAGCTGAAAGAACTGTAGCTTCTTTAGCGCTCTCCAAACTTCTTATGAGCATCCATAACACACGACTGAAAGCTTGGATATTCTCTAATGACTTGCAACGAAGCCAAGTTTTCAGTGGGGGGTAATTTGCACCTAAAATGCTCATTTGCTTTGCTGATTGTGTAATCAGCTTGTTTTCGAACAGTTGCGGGGCAAATGCAAAAATGGCGGAAAGCGTCAACCATTGAAAGTGTCCTCCGACCAATCTGTGCATAGTCGTTGTTGAGAATCTGCTCATCAAATTGACCTTCGGTCAATATTCGTTTATATTTGAAGAACATGTTTGTTCTACTTTGCTTGCGTTAGTTTTGCTCTTGCTTTTGTAATTTTTGACAAAGAGGGCCGATAATTTATTTTCACTGATTTCCAACAACCTTTTCATTACTTTTCTTTTTTGCTTTTTTTCCCTTTTCTTTCCAGTGGCACATTGTAAATGACTTGGGGTAAAAGTGCAGTCAGTGTTATATTAATTACAAGTTCCGTATAATTTATCATTTTTTTCATCAATACTGACTCGAGACACCATTTTTTGCCCTTTAAAGGAAATGACAACGATTTTGACCTTAAAAGGGAAAAAACAAATTGGAGGTCTGTGTGTACCCAACGATCTTGTCGTTTATGTGTTCGTTAACCGAATAAACCATCTCAACAGTTCTATGGGCATCTTTTTCTAAACCTATTTTAACAACCCATTTTTTACGGTGTGTTTGTTATATTTTCTTTCTAACGGATCTTTCAAACACACAGTAAACAGTGTTGGCACCTGTGCCATTCAGAGCCTTCAAAACCCTTCTATAAAGCTCTTTCCTGCCCAAGAAAATATTGGGTAGAAAAGATATCCTCTTACTATCTTAACGTTTCTCCCTCGGCAAGGGCACATTTTTTACCATCTCTGGAGTTGACTTCAGTCCCTAAAAGGAAAATATATACCCCATCGACTTAAATTTCATGTTTTTCCATGATCGAAATTCTCAGCTTGTAATTTTCTGATGGTCCCCCAGGCGTCTGCAATATCCACATGTCGATTGTTCAACTCCATATAAGGCCATCACGGAATTTCACGTTTCTTACATGCTTTGTACCGGGATCTTTGTTTCCGCTGTTGAAACTTTTGAAGTGCTTAAGAGCACTCTTGAAATTGCTTTGTGGCCAAAATCGATTGAGCGAAAAATCGGTAAGAGAGGTAAGAGAATGACAGACAAATTTCTATTTTTTGCCTGGAAAATATGAAATTCGACATAATTAAAGTATTCTTTTGTTGTGAGTGTGTTTTCAGGTCGTTTTCCTTCAACCGTGTCTCCAGCAGGCTTGTCATGAGTCAGCCATGCGCAGAGCACTTGTGACGGGTGCGCTAAATTTAGGGGGGAACGTAATATAATGCCCTTGTTATTGTCAGGCCACACGTAGGACACATAATATATTGCTGAGCTCAGCCAAAGACTGACCCGTCAGTCATCACGCCATCAAAATAAAGGGACCTCGATTTGCAACGTGTTCAGAATACAACACGCTCAGCTAGCAGCAGAACGATTGTGAGAAACTTGAACGTAGAAAAGAAGCCAACCGCCGGGCTATCTTCGCCATCTGTAAGCCGCTTTTTCTGACGGAGACTCTTCTCATTTACTTTGCCGCGGTTAAGAAATTGTTATGGATGGTATAGAAGGTGCTTACCGTCCAAGGAGTGAATCAGGTGAAGTGAAAAATCTGAGTGATTTTGAAGTTAAGATCACTCCTGATACAATGAATGGTTCACATGTCACAAATGGGAGAGCAAATATGGCCGTCGAAATCAAAGACGAAGGAGCTGAAAACAAGGATGAAAGGTAAGAATTAAAACCTAGCCAACCAAGCAATTTGTGCTGAGTCAGAAGACTAAGGTCTTTTCCTTGACCTGGAAACCGATTTGAACGGTAACTAATTGAGGTTATTTACAAGAAAGAAAAAATAGTAAAGTACATGATTACGTAAGAATTGGTGCTTATTTTACAAACCGCACATTTAGAAAGGCGTAGCTGCTGTTCACACATTTCCCTATAATTTACAGGAACATATCTGGTAACAGCTTGTAATGAGGTTGCTTTTGTCTGCCAAGCCTCTGAATCTTTGTTGTTGAACACAAGCACAATTATTGTAGGTATTATACGAGTAATCTTTTAGGAACGAGGCCGTGTTGCATGAGTCCTATTTGATATGCAAACTGCTTACTGAAAACGGAAATGCTCGTTGCGGTTCTGTAGTTTAAGTGACAGCGGAGGAATTAATTTCATTAGGTTGAGAACAGCAAGTCTGTCGAAAGTGATGTGTTTAAGTGCTGTTACTTGACTTCTGCACGTGAATAATGGTACAGCCATTACCAATTGTCGTCAGCGATAGGCAACTGTATCAACATGTCACTTTTTTGTTAGTTGATATGCATGTACATCTTGTAATTTAAAATATGCATCTCTTCAATGGATATTTTAAGGGGTCTGGAAGTGATATATGGATTTGAAGAAGGGTTTCCCCAATATCTGATTGCAAAGAGGGAGTTCCATTTCACCCACAAATTTTAGAAAAATTCACTATTCATGTATATACTTAATTTCAACAACTTTTCATGCATCAGAACTTTCAATGGGAAAACTTCAAATCTCTCTTTTTGGGTGAGGTTTCAGAGAAATCTTATGGTTTTTATATTCACCGGTCACATATTTTAGGAAGGCAAATCATATCTCACACTGGTTCATAAAATTTTGAATCATGCTAGCCTTTCTTCTTTCTTTTAAATTCTAACATCACTGACTAATTTTGGCTTTAATCCCAGGCCACATATAAACCTTTTGCTGCCTATATGCAAGATTAATCAAATTGCAATGGTAGCAAGTTGGCTAGGAGCTATTTGTATAAATTAATGTCAATTGTGAGTAACTTGTTAGGAATTATGAAGTGAAGAACTTGTATTTATGTACTTTTTTAGTGTTGATAAAGATAAAAAGGGAAAGAAAGAGAAGGAAGAAAAACCACCAGTTGTACCATTACTCAAACTAGTAAGTCTGTGTTCAGATGATGCAAGAGAATGTTTTGATGTGATCATGTTGTCAGTTTGCAACTGTCTTTCTTTAAGACACTGTGGCTCAAACATTAAGCTGTATTTTCTCTGTAAGTGTTGGCTCAACTGTTTAATTTTCTTACAGTGTACCCCTCGCTAACAACAAGTGTCCAAATTAATTCAAACATTCACTGATCAGTCACAACATATACATAGCCTTTAGAAACTGGATCATGTGCTCTGTATGTAATGTCAGGTTAACCTAGCATTCCATAGCGGTTGACATGGCAGTTGATATATATGTAGCTGTCAACACAATGGTAGATTGTTGGTCAATAGTCAGTTGATAGTCACTAATTAGTTCAGCTTGCGCCATTAATACACAAAAAAAGAACATGGCCAATCTTTGGCCAGCTTGACTTCATACTTGGTCAATAACATATATACTATGCATATTGTTTTCAGTTTCGTTTTAGTGATAAGTTAGATGTTCTGCTTATGGTGCTGGGAACCATATCATCAATTGGCCATGGTGCAGCTGTTCCTCTACAGTTCATTATATTTGGTGACCTGATCAACAGCTTCATTAATTTTGACAAATTCAAATCAGACACCAACACAAAGCCATTTGATCTTGAAGGAGAGATGACGCAATTTGCCTTGTACTATGTCTATTTAGCAATTGGAAACATTGTTGTTGCATATGGTCAGATGGCATTTTGGTCTCTTACTGCCACTCGGCAAGTGAAGAAAATGCGCTTGGCTTTCTTTCAATCTGTCCTTAAACAAGACATAGGTTGGTTTGACACGACAGATCCAGGAGAACTCAACAGTCGGCTCACTGAGTATGTCTGACATTTTGACTTTAAATGTCTCACTATAAACAATATCACAATAGGATTACTTTAATTCTTGTGACTTTGTGAGTAATTTATTGTGTTAGTTGGGGTTGCCATGTTAACTGGGAGGATGCAGAGGTTATGGGAGGATATCATGATTCTTGCTGCATACATTTTGCAAACAACATGAATTTAAATTATAAAAACTTGTTAGAAATTAAAACAAATTTCAAAGAATTATTGCTTACAATAGAAAATTGCAAAATAATTTTCATATTAAGTCCTGAGTGTAGAGGGAAGTTGGCATCAGTAGATAACAGATGGGAGATATATCATAATTCTCACTATCACCAATTTTGCAGGGACCTTGACAAAGTAAATGATGGCATTGGTCAGAAAATTGGCATGTTCCTTCAAGCTATCACAATAGTTCTTGTTGGCTTCATCATGGGATTTGTATATGGGTGGAAACTAACCCTAGTAATAATTGCTGTCAGTCCTCTTCTGGTTATAGCAGGTGGACTTATGGCAAAGGTACATGTAAATGTTTATTGTCTATAAACTAATTATTGTGTTTGCAAACAAACTTTCCTTTCTGATAAAGGGCAATAGTTACGAAATTAGACAGATTTCTTTATTTTACTTGGCTGCTTGAGCTGTTTGTAGTCCATACCTCATCTTCCACATAATTCAACAACTTTTCACTCGTATTGAACAACGTGAGCAGTAGAAGCTAATGTACTCAGCCAAACTTTTTGAACTCAAGGTCAAAATATGCAGTATGATGTAACTTCCAATATAAGATACAGCAATTATACTTCATAGAAATGGCCCATGACTTTTGAAAGCCACCTGGGCCATAGGCTCATATGCCTGTTTTCCCTTCCCATAATCTCTAAATTCTGGAGGAGATGGTGGAGATGACAATCTCTCATAATGACAACTCCACAGGTGAATTGCCTGAACTAGAGGACAGTGAGATGGCCTTGAGACTGATAGCAAAGGAGAAAATGAATTAACACTTCATTCTTGAAGTTATCATTGAGCAAAATGGCCCCTTAAGGACCTGGCCACCACTTAAATAAAAGTAATTGACTAACAAGAATTTGTGTACTTAGACTATAAGTTTGTGTTTGTTGACGAATAGAGCAACTAGACACAAATATTTTTAGTTTTACTGATCCTCTACCTAGTAGATGTCAAATTACTTGTGGTGGAGTGCCTCAGTAGCCTCTTTATTGACTCCTGAACTGTTGCAGATGTTGTCTTCGATTACAACCAAGGAGCTTGATGCTTATGCTAAAGCTGGCAGCATAGCAGAAGAAGTACTATCATCAATTCGAACTGTTGCCGCCTTTGGAGGAGAGAGGAAAGAAATTGAAAGGTACAAATACACCTTGTTCAACACTATATGTAGAAAAAATGAAAGAAAGCAAAATGAAAATAGGTTTGAATGAAGCTGAATTAATTATTGTTTATTAATAATTAATTGGTTAATAAGTAAATTAAGTGATGAAGTAATTTTTTGATTGCTTCATGATCACTCATCGATCACTTGATTCCTTTGTTCCTTGATTAATTGTTTTCTTGCTGATTGATTGAGGCAAACATAGCTCACTGGGAACCTTTTTTTTGTGCATGAATTCATTAGAAGCCTCCCATATATATAATCAGTGTCACTCGTAAGTTCTAAGGTTCTCAACAAGCATCAAACACTATGGTAATCAAATGCATTTCCTTGATGAGCAGATCTTTGGCAGTTTTGATGACAATGGGGACTTCTAAGATACTTTTTCTAAGCAGTGAACAACAGAACTTTAAATGTACAAGTTAATTATCTTTTAAATAATATTTTGTGTTTCAGGGGTTGACATTAACTTTTTAAGTTTGTTGTCTTTCAGGCAACAAACCCTTACAATCTAGTTGCCCGAGGAAGAATTTTAGTTGCCCAAAACATTCGGTACAAACAAATTAAATAAAGCTTTATCAGCAAAACAGGAACCTTTTTATTAACTTTCTTTTATGTTTATTCTAAGTTACTAGGGGATAAAGGAAGATAATACTCTAAACGAAATTTGTTCACATTTAAGTTTAGTGTGCATACATCAGAATAAGTTATTAACGATATCAACCAAGTGTTTAGTGTGGCCTAAATCCAGGCCTTCTGGCTCTCTCCCCTGTCTCCCACCAGTGCTTTACAGCTGGCATGGGGTCAAACTCCTCCAGAGATCTTCCATTGAGGGAAATGCACACCAAAACATCAAGGGTTTCAGTGGTGAGAGTGCTCCTCAAGTTACTTTTGATTCGTTTTACACAAGAGGAGCCACATTCACAACACACAGTGCTGACTGGCAGGATAAGGATGATCTCCACTAGCATTAGGATATTTTGGAGCCTCAACTGATGGTCGGCAAGCACTTTTTCCCACAAGGCATTGTTTCATGTTTCTATAGCCATGGTTTTTACTGACAACTGCTTTCAGTTCCACCCATTCATCTGAGAGAGCATTAAGATTACAGTTGTTTAGCTGCAGCAGGGGCTGGTAGTGGGTCTTTAAGATTTCTATTTGGTCTTCCCCATATGTTGCCAGCTCAGTGTTGTTTTGAGGCCAGTTTTTTAAGTAAAATATTTCAGCAGCAGAGAGAGCTGGCAGGCGCATAGCGTGGTCATTTTTTCAAGTATGCACAAGTACATATGATCTAGAAACCTAAGTAAACTGAGCGAAAAATACTGCGTTCTTTATTTCTTGTTTGAAATAGTTGTGTGAATACAAGCAAAGAACAAAGCGTCTTTCCCTTATTTTGAGCAAACTTGGTGCAAACACAAGATTGTTTTCAAATTTTTCTGGTCACTTCAAGTATGCACGTGCATATATGCGTAGAGGATGCTACGTGCCTGGCTGGATTGTCCACTAGGCTTTCAAATCTTCCATCAAGATACTCTTCAATACTGGCGGCAAGATGCTGTTGTTTCTCTACCAGTCTCTCTAGGTCATCAGGCCTGCTTCTGAGTTCAATGCCCTTGTGTGGTTGGTCATTCCCAGTGGCATTTAGAAACTCTGAAAACTTGCATGCAGGTCGAGCTACCATTGCTTTAAGTCCAATCAGTGCGACTTCCAAGCCATCCTTAGCAGCTGCCAGGGTTATGTCATTATGCTGGAACAGTAAGCTAACCTTAGACAACACTTCTATGAAATCTAACATATATCTCTTGAGTTAACTTTGGATCAATGCCGTTGTGTCTTCCAGTATAAACAGATGCGCCATCGGTACCCATGTGAACTAGAGCCTGTTTCCAGTCCTTGACTCTTGTTTGTTTGATAGCTTGCCCAATTGTGGAAATGATCCCATCGGCTGTGGCATCCTGTAATTTATGCACTTTTAGAAACTTGTTTACAACAGAACCCTGATCCAGATACCTCACATAGATTAGCTCCAGCTCCTTGGTGCTGACATCAGTGCCTCCATCTGCCATCAATGACAAGAACCATGGTTGTTTACTATTCAAGGTTTCCTTTATTGCTGAGTGTTGTACAGCACTGATACTCTCCAGGAAGTCTTTGCATCATTTGTCATTTAAGTAGAAATCCCCGAGATCTACTGAGTTTTTGATATGCAGCTTACAGAGAGATGCTAAATCGCCCATTGGATGCTCTTTGATTGCTAAGTAATATGCTGTGTTAAATAGCTTCAACATTTTCTCTTGTAATTGTTCATTCATGTTGCAGATATTCTTTACTATTCCGGTTTCTGGATTTTTTGCTGCCTTGTCTGCCTCAAAACATTTCCAGTGTGCCTGAGACTTACTATGTACTTGTATGTTCTGAAGTCTAAAGCTCTGCGTACCAAGAAAAAACGAGCCTGTGTGATCTGCAACTGTGGGGTATTTTCTACACACTGAACAGAACATTTCCTTTTTTATGTCATCGTGTTCCATCTAGGAATAATCTTTTTTCCAGCTTTCTAAAAACTTCCTTGTCCTCTTACACTCATGTGAACTTGAAGAAGTAGCCTTGTCAGAGCCTTCCGGCTGTGTTGAAGATTCACCTGCTTGAATACTTCCTTCTGCATCTTTTTTTCGTTTATTGCTTGGTTCACCATCTGAACAATTGCTCCTAATTGTAAAGCCAAATCGAAATAGGTGTGAACTCATAGTAATTTTTTCGTTTGCGATTGAAATCTCCACGTTAAGTTATTTGTTTCCTTTTAAAATGCACGTGTACAACCATGTGCTGTAATGAATTGTCTAGACATGTCTAGACAAACTGACATGTTTCATGCTTGAAGACTTCAGTTCTGCATTTTGACTCAAAGAATAACACCAGATATGTGATACAATAAACTATTGAACAGAATTTTAAAGTACGCAATGCACAAAATCTAACATTTTGAAGGTGCTAACACAAACTGACCCATCTGACAAACGTGATAGTTTCTCTAGACGATTAATTTTGTCTAGACAACTTTTTCACACTTCGGTTAACATGGGAAAGAAAAAAAGAGCGAGCTGAGAAACGCACACGGAAGTACTTTTTTAAAGGATATGCCGCACCTCATTTCTTTTAATTTATTAATTGCTGGAATAAATATTTTGAGTTTTTCATGATAACCTACAACTTTCACAAAAATTTTCAGTTGCCCAATTGGGCAACTAGGATCTGAAACTTAGTTGCCCCGGGCAAGTGGGGAGCCGTTAATGTCGAGCCCTGTGTTTGTTTTGTTACAATACACACTATATGATACATGTAGCAAATTAATGTCTTTGGCAGGTACGCTTTTCAGTTACGGTAAGTTTAAGTAGCTTATTCAGTGTAGAATGATGGCTAACAAGTTGCTTTTTAGTTTGATATAAATGTTTAGCTGAAAGTTTTTTGTCCAGCTCAAAGTTTGGGAATTGAAATGCAAATTGCTAATAAACTGAATTTGAATGGAGCAACAAGATTGTTAAAATGATTGAAGTGTTTGCTGGATTGAGAATCTGTTTATTTAACTGCATTGTTGCTAGTTTCTTGTGAAATGTTTTTATTTAGTTTCAATTTTCATTCTTAATTTATACCCTCTTGAAACACATTCACTGTTCACAGATCATAGCTCAATTTTAACTGGCAAAATGGCTGAAAGCCACTTCCCAGTTGTTGTTGTAAGTTATGACCCAAAATTTACTCTTTCCATCTATCACTCCATAACTGTCACTCCTTCCTTATATTGCAGTTAACTTTTTTTGGTAAGTCCACTGACTACCACCTGAAGCTTTTGCTTATTTTGTTCATGTTTGAGACTGAACTGATAGCTAAGAATCAGTCAAAATGTTAATAGTCTGATAGCTGAGGTTTGAGAACAGTAAGTTTTACTGTTGGGTGAATAATGGGCTGAAATTAAGACTATGTGATGATGTTTGTGTACAATTTGACAGGGATAAACTGTATTTATTTAAATTTCAGTATTCAAAGACTCTCCTTCCCAAACCTTGTTGATCCCAATTTTAAATAATATTTTACCACCAAAAAAGACAAAATCAATGAGTTGATCTGTAAATTATACATGTAGGCGTACATTTATTATCAACAAGTTATCTCACTTCTGCCAAGTGGAAGTTAGAAGAGAGTAGTCGATCTATGTCCACTTGTAAAATGATGTAAAGTTCATTTCTTTTTTTCCTGTCATAGATATTCATCCCACTTGGGAGAAGCTAGAGACTTTGGCACTAAGAAAGGTCTTATGTCTGGTTTTGGCTTGGGCTTTTTTCAAGTCATCATGTTTGGCAGTTATGCCTTAGCTTTTTGGTACGTACAAAAAAAAAAAATGTAACCAGGGATCTGAATAATTTCTGCACACAGGTGAAATTTTTAAAACAACTTTGAAATTAATTTCCATTAGTTAAAAAAACAAAACAAAACAAAACAAAAACCCAAGGAAAAACAACAGTAAATTTTCAATGGTCATGTCATTGGACATGTAGCTCAGAGGCTACACAGTGTTGTGTTACTTACTGTCTATATTTTGGTATGTCTCTTTCCCGTGCCTGTGCATTCACCTAAGTACCCATTTCCAGTGTAGGGTCACGTGACTTGTGTTTACTGCTACAATGAGGTAATGATCCTTCCAAAAATGATTACTATCTTCCTAATTAAATGTGACGTATGATTGTTCTGTAGGTATGGTGCAAAGTTAATCATTGATGAAGAAATGAATGGGGGAGACCTGCTCATTGTAGGAAGCATTTTGTTTGATACCATACATTCAAATAATTACTACTATTGCTATTAAAAATAAGGAGTGTAAAGGACTCCTTTAAGTATATCTGGACCAAACCTTTTGATTATTTCTTCTCTTAAGTTAAATACCGTAACATTTGTCTTTCTTTTTACTGTATTGATGGTTAGTAAAGTATTTAAAGAACTCTTTGTGGCAAATAGATAAGTAGACATGTATGCTGAAGTCCAGAGTCATGGAAAATGTTCATGGTGGAGATGCCTTTTGTTCATGATCTAGTCTTGGAGCCCTGTAGCTTTTTTTTTCTTTGAATCCCAGCACATCTTAAACTTACCATATTGCAATATTGTTTGGAACTATTTCTTCCCTTAGGTTATTGGGTTAGTGCATGTAGGATAGCATTATCCTCTGTTTTTGTGTTTGCATGTCTAGGTGTTCTTCTCAGTTATGTTTGGAGCAATGCAGCTTGGTCAGGCTGGTCCAAACTTTGAATCCATAGCAACAGCACAAGGAGCAGCTTATAAAGTTTTCCTTGTTATTGACAGGGTAAATAGCCATTTACAGTATAACAAAATTGTAACTGCAAAGAATAAAGCTGTACAAATGCAACTCCATTAAAGTTAATTTTCAACTAGGCACTCATAATTCGAGTTTTTGTCCAACCATTTGATATGCCACCATAAGACTTTTACTGGTCTGATACATCATGCTTTACCCAGTTGGTGCTTGGCAACATGTCTACCTAATATGTCTTTAGTTTTAAAATTTTGTGCACAAAAAAAAATTTTATTAATTTTTCACTCCACTTTTGTTTAATGCAATGAAGATTCCTCCAATTGACTCAAGTTCTACTGATGGTGAAGTGCTAGATCACAGTTCTTTCAAGGGAAACATACATTTCAATAACATTGAATTTTCCTATCCATCGAGACCAGACATAAAGGTCAGTTACCTGTATTTGGACAATTCTTCTGGTAAAATTAGTTTGTGTACTCGATTATGCAATAGCAAGGCTAGAGAAAACTGCTTTAATCAAGAAGTCTGTGTAGCAGTGTTTTCACTTGTTTTGTTTTTTATATTGTGGTTGTTGTTGTTGTTGTTTTTTTTTTTTGACAACACCGCCATTTTTTCTTTGGTTGAATAATTTCAATTGTACACAGCATGGGAACTTTATGGCCCTCTCATTATTCCCTAAGAGATGGACTTAAAAAAGTATATGAAACTAAATTTTGCTTGTTTCTAGAAGGAGTATGAATTTAAGTGCTAAATTTGAGTTTTACTGAAAGACATCTTAGTTAATTTGTAATTTATAAAACCTTTGCAGGGGTTTCATGAATGTTTTCTGCAGGAGGGCAACTGGTTTTCACAGGCGGGCAAAACTCTTTGAACTGAACTTCTTTATAAGATAAACTTTCCTCCAGATGGTCAAATCAGGTGGGCAAAGCCTTCCTCACAACCGGTCAATTTGGCTGGTGCCTGGCCCTTAATGAAACCCCTGCCTTTGTTTGACTTGGAGAGGCATTTCTCCAATCCATCCTAAGCTCTCTACTTGTGTAAGTGATTTTTGAAGGTTTAGGTAGTCATGATAAGTCTCCACATTACCTACGTAAGAGAAGTGCAACAGTCTGTCTATCTTTGAAATCTTGTTATTATTTTTGGTAAATGACAAATTTATCATGGCATTTCAATATAATTGTGGTTTGGTCACAATTGTAAAACTTTAAAGGCCCATGTCCAACCTTGATGCAACCTATTTCCTGTAACAAGAAAATTCCTCAATTACTGAAAATGAGGTGACCTCCTAAAATCTTCTCTCTCAAGAGCCATCTTGGATATATAGTCAATTGTTTTAGGGTAAATACATTTGCCACTTGTCATTTTACAGTATCCTTGCAGTATTTTGAATTTAGTCCATATTTAATTGGAAATTGTACCCTTCAAAGAGGAAAGTTTCGAACAATAATATTATGTTAAATTAGGCCAACTCTCGTAAGATCTGTTTTCAAGATGAATGCACCTCCAATACACCTTTCATGGGCAAAACAAAGAACCAGATCTGTCTTATATCAAACTGGATGCCACTGGTTCAGCCTTCTACTGCCATTGAGAGCTACTTGGAGAGATCATTGTATCCAAGTCAAGAAATTATTTGTGATGCGATGAGGTCACAGCTCTAAAAGAGTTGAGAAACAACTCTGCTTTAATAAACCTCAAAAAGCAACACAACAACAGTCATCATAAACAAGACAGAAAAAGTGGAAGAAGCCAAAGTGTAACTCAACACCAGTGTTCACTAAAAACCTCCCAAAGCATTGATAATAAAAAACAGGCAGGAAAGGGTTAATGAGATCATTGACGTAATGCATTGGCAGAAACACATTGATGGCAAAACTAAGAAATGGCATTCACAAACTCCCAATCCATCTAAATACACAATCAGCCCTTGCTGAAATCAATTTATACACAACATCTGATGATCTTTTGCAAAGAAAAGGAAAACCCCTTACAACACACTTGTGAGGGTAAAAATACAATTTGAGGCTGATAGTGTGATGTGACCACAAAAGCCACATAGGAAATCAGTGCCAGTCTGTCTTACCTTTATTCACAACTTGGTAAAGGTACAAATAACTGACCAATCAGAGGCACTATTTAAACAAAAGACCAGTGATAGTTCAAAAAAAAAACAAAGACCATGTTGCATTAAGGTTGGAAATTAATGGGACTCTGAGATTTATAAACAGGTAATACTGTTTTTCAGACTTTAAATGGTTTAGATCTTGCTGTTGAAAGTGGACAGACTGTGGCGTTGGTGGGTGAGAGTGGTTGTGGAAAGAGTACAGTTGTTAAGCTTCTACAGAGGTTCTATGACCCAACTGGCGGTGAGGTGAGATATTCTGGTTCTCAGAAGATTTTTAGCAAAAAGAAATTGCTCAGTGTAACTGAAGTCATTGTCAGAGTCTAGCCTACCCTGTTAATCAGACCACATAATGAAATAGTAATTTCAGATTTAAACTTGATGGTAAATTTTGTTTTTCTATGCAAAATTGTACAAATGCTTTATCCTCTCTTGAAAGGGGAGTAATAAAGCCAGCAATTAGAGATACAAAACATTTTATTAGGCATGCTGCTCTTAAAAACCAAAAGAGAGGGAAGTGTTCCCTAAAGCAAAGTATAATAACAGACAAAAATCTCTGCCTCTATTTAAGAAGAGAAGTGTGATTCAGATGCTCATTGGCAAAAAATGTATTTTTATTTTGTTTATCATGAAGGTAACTGTGGATGGCTTTAACATTTGCAATTTGAACCTGAAGTGGTTGCGTGAACAAATTGGTATTGTGAGTCAAGAGCCAATTCTTTTTGCCACCACAATAGCAGAGAACATCAGGTATGGCAAAGATGGTGTGACACAAGATGACGTTGAAAGAGCAACAAAGATGGCTAATGCCCATGACTTCATTAAAAAACTCCCACAAGTAAGTGAAGACTGTTTCACAAAAGAGTACCTAGCACTTTGCAAGTTAGTCGAATGTAACATATGCTGCCCAGTCAAAAAAGAGTAGTAGATGCATGGGATATCCTGGGGTTTTTTTGTTATTTCTAGCTAACCCCAGATAGATTGTTGCCCCCTTTAGCTAACAAGTTTGCACAACCCAGGCACATATCAGTACTGATTGGATCATTTTGGGAGGGAGGGGGGGAAGGGAGGTTGGGATGGCAACACTTCAAAACAAACACTGCAAAACTTCACAAACCTGCATAAAAAAAAAAACATCTGCAGCATAAATCCATGAGAATTCAAAGACCCATCATGATGACCTTGCAAAATTCCCAGTGGACCTGCACTGATACTGAACACTGAAGAGTTGAGCTTGCAGTTCTCCTGGCAGGTAAATTTGTAAGAATTCTTATTTAATGAAATTTATGATTGCTTTTCATTTTTGCAGGGCTATGATACTCTTGTTGGGGAACGTGGAACTCAACTCAGTGGAGGACAGAAGCAGCGTATTGCCATTGCACGAGCTTTGGTAAAAGATCCAAGGATTCTGTTGTTAGATGAAGCAACATCAGCACTGGACAGCGAAAGTGAATCAATTGTTCAAGCTGCTTTGGATAAAGTGAGTCATTGATGCCTTTTATTCATAAATGTAATTGCTTTTCCCAAGGTTGTCAAGAGATCCTTTCATGTCATTTTCACGTACAGAAACTACTGTTGGGCAATTCCATGCGAGTGGTGTCAGAGTCCAGGTTTTTAAAAAACAAGTTGGACTTGAAATTATACTCTGTGTTACGATGCTGACAGGTTACAGCACACAGAAAAATAAATTCCAGCTCCCTTGTGATAACCATATATTCGGGGGGGTCTCCAAAGCAAGTGTTAATTTTTTTCTATGACAGACAATGGGCAAGAGGCTACATTTTAACCTGCTGCATCAAACTTCAAGAATATGAAGGGCTGCAAACACTCGTATCAGAAAAAATCCTTTACTGGAGTAAATACATAAGAGATATAAATTTCACCTGAACTTTTTTTTAAAAGTAGATATAACAAAGGCAAGTTCCGTCGCAGATGTTATGTAACATCCACAACACTTAAAGTGCACCTAAACCCAAAAATTTTTTTAGCTTAACAAAATAAACTTATTTTTTGGAGTATTTCTGTTCAAAAATTTTTTTATTTGCTCAAATCTTTGATTTTCTGTGCCCGGTCAAAATACGGAAAATCGGCTGCCATCTTGCCCCATGACCGAGTTTAAAGAGGAATGGCTCTAGCGGGTAATGTGACGTCAAATCGAGAACACGAAAGTCTGCATTTCACACATTTTCACTTGTTTGGGAAGGTTGTCGTCGATATTGTCTGAAATATGCCGACTAGGTGTGTTGTATGAGGAATGTATGAAGCGCGAGCAAATAAAAAAAATTTTGCACAGAAATACTCCAAAAAATATGCTTATTTCGTTCAGCGAAAAAAAAATTTTTGGGTTTCGGTGCACTTTAAACAATAAACAATCCTTTTTCTTTCCTAAGATAACTATATGAAAGATTTTAAAGACATTCTTGTCACACAGCTAGATATCCAATAGAAACACTTTAGTAAAAAGAAATCTCTAGTAAACTGCAACATTTTCAAAATAATGGCAGCAAAACTTTGTTCCGGACGTTACATTGCAGGCATTACACTTCTTGAACACAAGTTAAAACACTTGAAATGGTTTAAAAAAAGCCAAAATATTACACCACAAGTCCATAGGTTCTTCTAGATATGCTCTATTTCCACCTGACAAACATTTTGAAACAAACAACAGCTTTCAAGAATAGAAGAGGTTCTTCCAAAATCTGATGAACATAGTCATTTCTCACAGCTCTTAAACCCTTGTATGTTTCCTAATTACTCTGAAGAGTTTTTGCACAGCTAGGGGTCCTTCAAAAACTCTGGGTCTCGCAGTCTCGTTTTTTCAGCGGTTATGTGTGTCTTGCAGTCTGATTTTTTTATATGAAGGTGTCTCGGAGTCTCGATTTTTTGCAAGGCTAAGGGTCTCAAAGTCCCGATTCGTTTGTTGGTTTTTTTTAAATGACGTCTTCTCGTCACTTGATATTGAATTTCATTAAAGCAACTTTCAATTTCTGAGAAAAACTCAATCCTAACTTCTCCTAAATTCTCTGAATTCAACAAAAAGCTAGAAAACTTACCGCAACATCATTTTGGCGCCAGAAACGTAGTGTTAGAGTCGAATTTCCAGTTCAAGCTAGTACACAGAAGCTGGCTAAAATGGGGAATCATGAAACCCACACACTGACCCACTATAGCTTATGATGGAACCCACAAAGTCAGAGAACTTATCTCTTGCCCCCTGTGGAACTGTGTAAAAGCACAAGCATTCCTAGTGAAACAGACAAGTTACTATACTACTCATTTCCTGTATACATAGCAGGTGGTTTTGATTTTCCTCTTTCGACATGATCGCTGGAAAGCGATCAAGTGTATGGTAGTTTTAATATTTCGACCTATTTTGCCAACTTTTGCCATCTTAGGCAAACAATCCCAGGTAAAACCACCATCAGGGCGACTTGCGGCCTAGATCTTTCATAGCTAGCTATAGTAGCTTACAGTAATAGGACCGCGCGACTTGTCTGGCCAAGTGTGGCATGGTTGTTTTTGCGAGGCCAGGATTGAAATTTTACTGGTAGACTAACAGCGAATTGTCGGCACATTCATAAATACCAACATTCATAGAGTACTTACGTGATTCGTGCTTTTGCTTCCGATGAGAAGAAGACCTTATGCCCCATTTCGGTTTCCTCCATTGTTTGAACACTTCCACCTCAACTGAATTCAAACACGGCTGCACGTTCTTTCTGACAACTTCCAGACAACTTGAATTATAAGTAACAGTGCATCAGTCAAAGAAGTCAAAGGGAAACGACCAATCGCAACCTCCTGACCGGAAATTAGGTCATGGCCAGGAAAAAAATGGAATTTATTGACTCGTTGACAAATTTTCAGATCTGATGTCTCATACAAGGGTTTATAACAAAAGGATCCTTTGTGAGACTTTTGTACAGGCTCATTCTAGCTCATTCTCATAGCTCTCAACCAAATTTGGGGCTCGCAAGTTAAGACTCTCAATGTCTCGCGCTCGCACTTGCACTCAAAACCCTTTGAAGTCTCGGTCTCGCAATCTAAAAAGTCAAAATGTCTCGGGCTCGCAAAGAAAAATGCTAGTCTCGCCATCTCGCAAAGTCTCGCATTTACCATTCGCCACCCCTACAGCTGGTTGCTCTGGAATTTCAAATGGTCCACTAATAAAGTGAGGAACAGTAATAGGACTAGCAAAAATATTTGAAAGGTGGACTCTGTCCATATCGTCTTGCCTAGGCCAATGATAAGTAGTTGCACTGACTGTGTGCAGGAACTTGAATTGGACAAAACTGTCATTTTTGTCTATTACTCTGCCAAAATAATAGTTTGTCATGTAATCGACTGCATAGTATTCCCCTGGTTGAATAGTTGGTGGTGGAATTGGGCACAGCCTTTTCTGGTGCAATTCTTGGATCATCAGTCTACCTGTATGTGGGAACTTCAGTTTTAAGGATCATTTGGCATCTGGTGGCCAAACATCTTGCATACAGACAAGTGAAAATACCACAGTCATAGGTATTGTCCAGTTGTGGAATCTCACCAGGCCTGTTTGAAAAGAAAGACCACTGGTTGATGTCGATCAACTTTCACAAGAAGTGACACCATCTTTTCCACTCGTTTTAACACAGTTGGCTGTATGAATTTCCCTAGCAGGCTGTCAAGTGCCACAATGCACATTTCCTGGGGAAACATCACTCCAAAGAACCATTGTTCGCTCTGAATATCATTGTGGGGAAAGAAAACTGCATCTTGTCTTAACAGGTCACCTTGCCTTTCAGAAAATCTTTCAGGTGTTTCTTTTTCACTGCTTTTTCAAATTCTTCCCACCCAAAAACTTCAATGCAAAGGCCCTTTTCAGCACTTGTTGTCTTAACCAGCTGTAAATATGAGTCAACAATACAGTATGTAATCCACTTTGCTTCATCATTTGTGGCTTTCCTTTCCAACTCGTGTAAGTCACTAGCATTAAGGATTACCCTCAAAATCAATGCTTTTGCTAACAATCCGCTCTGCCAGTAGACTTCTGTAGGGAGGAACTTGGAATTCAGTGCATCTTGTGAGGTGGACAACTTTTTTCTTAGCCTGTGTAATCTCACTCTTTCCCTACATTTCCTTCTCTCTGCAGCAGCTTTCCTTGGACTGGGAGCTTTCATTCTACTTTCCCTTTTCCAAACTCTGTCTTTCTCTTTGTATTCTTCATAAATCTCTACATTTGCTTTGAGTTTTCTTCTGTGATTTTTGCTTCTTTCTGCTCCAGTTAAAGGCATTTTTTGAGACTTAAGATTTCAAAATAGGCTCAGGTATACATGTATTTTCCAGGAAAGGAACCTATATTGGACCAGTAGATGTTTGCAGGCTCAGAATGCAAAGGGCATGCTCAAATGCAGGTGGTATTTCATGTAAAAAAAACCATGTTGTGACCAAGAACAATACAGAATAGCGGATTTATCTTCTATACTTAACAATGATTTACACAATGTAAAATCTACAACATGAGTTGTGACGTCCGCGACGCTGAAGTTCAAGAAGCCTGGTAAAACTGTGAATGTCAGTTTAAATGAAGTAAAGCTTTTTGGTTCACACAATCACTCAACTGCAGATATTTGGAACAGTTCACATAAAAACCCCTGATACTTCACAGGAATTTTGACTTAATGCTAATGCACTTTACAACGTCCTCAACAGTGTTTTTTGTTTTTTGTTTTTTTTTTTCACAGAAATCAATGAAATGGAAAAATTGTACAGCCCAATTAATTATGTCAGTAGGCACAAACATGTTCATTAATGGAAAATTGGACAACACCTTATTTATCCTTTGTCTGTGCCAAATTAAAGTTTCAAAACTGAGTCTAAATGTAATGTCTGCGACAGTGGAATTGGCCTGTTATACATTTGATTGATTAAACTCGTATACTTTTAATAACTAAAATGTTTTCTCATTATAGTCACTTTAATTAAATTCTATAATTTATCTTATTTTTCTAGGCTCGTCAGGGTCGAACAACCATTGTGATTGCTCATCGTCTGTCAACAGTTCAGAATGCAGATGTTATAGCTGCTATTCAGGATGGTGTGGTGGTCGAGAAAGGAAGCCATAATGAACTCATGGAGACTGATGGAGTTTATCACCAACTTGTCACACTACAGGTACATATTTTAGTTCTACTTCCTGATCTTTCATGTTCAGCAGTGCTTAAAGTTAGTGTGTAACTGCTAGAAGGCTCATATTATGTTAACCTGACTGTATATTTACATATTAGCTGGATTCTTTTTAAAGGATGTGAATTGTAGGAACAAGTATTTTATAGAAAGAGAATGTTCCTTATTCTCCCTAAATTCAGGACATAATTGAGCAGTAAAATTAAAGTTAACTTGGTGTTACTTTTCAGTTATATTACCCATTAAGTAAATGTATGAAAGTAAGCTACAGTTAGAAAACCTATTAGTATAAATTAGAAAGATCTCCTTAAACATGTTTTACCCAGTGCTAGTTGGTCATTTATACTGTACATATTCATGATTTTGTTTGAAAGAAGGTCATAGTAGCACCAGAACTAATGTGCTAGAAATTGTTCTACCCTGTAGCTGAAAGGTAAGGCCATGTGTAGGAACTGAATTATGTATCTCAGAGGTTGTCAAGAGATAGTGTAATGCAATTAATTTTTTGATGGGTTTTCTAGCATTATTTATTACTATTTTATAGACTTTTGAAAAGGACGAAGACTATGAAGAAATTGTTTATGATAATAATAAAACAGAGGATATTGAGGAGAAAGGTAGGATTGAGAGCTGACTTCAAGCAAAAAGACATAATAGAGTGTCGAAATGTTATCGTTGAAACAATTGTCTAGTATAAATGCCGCTTGTAGTACTAAATAAGTTATGCAAAATAGATCTGCCGATAGAAATAATCAATTGGATCATAGATTTTCTAAGTGATCGTTCCCAGAGAATCAAACTCTCAGAGGGATGTTACTCCGAATGGGGATCAGTGCCATCTGGGTACCCCAGGGGACGAAACTAGGCCCGTGGTTGTTTTTGGTCCTTATCAATGAACTAGAAATTAATAATGCAGGCAATATCTGGAAGTGTGTTGATGATACAACTACATCGGAGATTATTGTGAAAGGAGCCAGTAGCAATTCCCAATTAATTGCAGGTACTGTTGTGCAGTGGTCATCTGAAAATAGAGTAAAACTAAACAGTGAAAAATGTAAAGAGCTTAGGATTTCATTTGCAAAGAACAAACCACAACTTGCACCTATAGTAGTAAATAACCAAGAGCTAGAATGTGTCAAAAGCACCAAATTACTAGGTGTTACGATCTCCAACAGCATTACATGGAATAAGCACATTGATCAAACTATAAAGAAAGCTTCTAAACATATGTAGTTCCTAATACAATTGAAAAGGGCCAAAGCCGCAAGGCAGGAATGAATTCTTTTTTTTTTACATCTTGTATAAGGTCAGTCTTGACCTACGCATCGCCTGCGTTTTTCTATGCCCTACTATTGTATTTAAAGAAAGATCTAGAGAATGTAGAGAAACGGGCATTGTCAATCATTTGCCCGGGCATGGCCTATAGAGAGGCCTTAGAGCTTTCAAATATTTTGTCTATCAATGACTACATCGCTAGCTTATGTAAAAAGACCTTCCTCTCAATTGCTAATGACCCGGCCCATCGCTTACATATAAAATGCTTCAATCATCAGTGCTGTCGAGTTATAATCTCCGGTGCAAAAGGTGTTTTGCGATTCCCAAATGTAGGACCGAGTGTTTCAAAAATAGTTTTTTAGTAAGATCATGTATTAATGAATTTTAGTGCTCGGTGAGTTTTGTAAATGAGATCGATGCCGTTGTATATATTTTAACAGTTCAAGCTTTCAATATGTTTATAGGATATTATTATTTATTTAGGACTTACTATTATAAGTTATATTTTATTATAAGTTATATTTTACACTTACTACACAATTCAGCTCAGTGGCTGCAAGCTTTTTACAAATAAACTCTCTATCTATCTATCTATCTAATCCCATGGAACAAAGCAACTAGTCGTAGAATGAAGATATCAAGAAATATTTCTGCAATTTTGGCAATTGTATGAATGCATGCAGCTTCAGTCACCATATTATGATTATTTTGTGATTTTTAGAACAGACAGCAGCAGTGAACTTTATGCGTAGCATGTCCCATATGTCAAGTGACAGTGAGCATGAAGACACTGAGCTTGAGAGGAAGCTTTCAAGAAGAGCATCACAAAGATTATCTGCTAAGAGGAGGGGCAGTTCTGCATTTGATCGGCCAACTTCTGCCAAGTCTGTGGTATGTGTTAATTTGCTGACTCATGGGCTAACTTCATGTGCTTTGCATGAGAAAGAGGATGCAAGGTTATCACATGATTAAATTACAAGAATCAGTAATTGATTGTATGGCCTCACAATAGATTAGTTAATTTCTTTTACAGGGAAAATGAGGCAAGTTAAAACCACGTCAGTTGGGTTCTTTCACAGTAGAGATAGGGGCCCTAGTTTTCAGGGGTATTGCCATGTGCTTTGCTACTTTGCTGGCCTTGTTGTCCCCCCCCCCCTCCACCCTTTACCCTCCCCACATCCCCAACTTTTGGGCTAGTATTCATTCCACAAACTGTGTGGTGTGTTGAAGGGTGCCAAGAGGTTGCTTGTGACTTGGTTGCCTTGGTGACTTCACTTCTGAGGAGATTTGATAAACTGTTTTCATGAAATGTCATGAAATAACATGAAATTCATGTGTAGCCAGTCATCAGCATTTCTGAAAATTTCAATATGCATATTCTGCAGAATATCTGCAGGTTTTATGGGTCATCCCTTCCTAAACAGAAGTTTAGTGTTGTTTTTTTTTTTTTTTTTTTTTTGAAGAAAATAATGTGCTTTAACACAGCAGGTGATAACAAATCAAAATACATTTACTTCTTGATAATGAAAAGAAAATTGAAAAAAAGTAGTTCCTAGCCTGCAGAGCAGGCATTCTAGTAAAGTTTGGGTGGAAATTAGACTGCGCGAAAAATGGACGAACTTTACTTGATTGCCAGCTCTGCAGGCTAAGTAGTTCCCAGCTGAGTAGAAACTTTGGTCATTGCAAATTATTAAGATTTTGTCTTTTAAATTAAAAAAAAAATGACCAATGCACATACTGAAGCTCATGAAATTTTATTGGTACCTGGTAGTTGGTAGTTGGTAGTTGGTAGTCTTCTGAATGACTGATTAAATGCATTTGTTGCTGGGATGATTGAGAGGGAGAAATGTACAATGGTCATTCATTTGTCATTCATTTGTGAATGGCAGCAGAGAAAACTTTATGACTCATAGTCCTCGCTATGACATATTAATTTTGTGAGTAATCTTATAAGTGCAATATTGTTTCTTTTTTTCCTAGAATTAATGTTTGTTGCATACATTTAATTGCTTGAGTATTTATACTTTGTTTTCACAAATTTTAGGGTAAGAATGACAAAGATGATAAAGAGAAAATTGTGGAGGAGGAAGTGGAACCAGCTCCTGTTATGCGTATTATAAAGTTAAACACTACGGAATGGCCATATTTGGTTTTAGGAAGTGTGGCTGGGGCCATTAATGGACTGTTCCCTTTTGCCTTTGCATTGGTTCTGTCTGAAATTCTGGAGGTAAGCTTTATAATGGCTGCAAGCCTTAGCAAGGAACAAGTTTTGATGACAGTGGCAACTGTTGCTAAAATGTGCACACTTGCTCCTCTTAAAGTACAATTGTATTTTATAATTTTCAAAGTGGTTTTTCATATCCTTGTCTATTGAAATAGACCATTTAAAGATGATGAAGATGTTGTTGATATTTATCAATTAAACTGCGGTGTTATGCAAGGATTTCCAGCCCTGGAGAAAGCCTTAACAGTGCACGTGTTCAATTCCTGGACCTGGCGTCACGTATGGGTTGAGTTTGTTGTTGGTTCTCGTCTGTTGCTCTAAGGGTTTTTCTCCGAGTCCTCTGGTTTTCTTCCTTCTGCAAGAACTAACATCGAAATTCCAATTCGATCTGGAAACAGTGGACAAGAAGAGCCACCCAGTGGAATGTCCATTGCTAAATTATTATTGTTATCATTAAAGTCCCTATTCACTCTCAGAGGTTTATATATATTTCGATTCTTTGCGTTATCAGGATTAATCTCCAAAAAAATTTTTTTTGATTGATTAAAATAATATTTCCCGAGATATGCCGCCTCAAAGTTCGTCCTTTGGCCACGCCCTTTTGATTTGGCCGGCTAATTATTAATTTAGTAGTTACTGGTAACTAAAGTCCCTCATGACGTCACAGCAACAATGTCTTTCGATCGATGTGCCTACATTCCCTTGAATATGCTTTTAGACGAATCTGGTGTATTAGAGCAACCAGCGACCACGCAACGAGTAGGCATTTTAACACCATTTTACAGCCGACCAAGTCAAAAGGGCGCGGCCAAAAGAGTAACTTTGAGGCGGCACATCTCGGGAAATATTTAATCAATCGCAAAATTTTTTTTCGGAGATTATTAAGCTCGCACATGCAAATTACTCTTCCCTACCATTAGGAAACTTTATTTTTGATAATTTGTGTTGCCAGTTTTTTTCAGAAGGGTGAGTAGTTTTAAAACTATTAATACTGCTCCTTTTCAGGTGTTTACTTTACATGATAAAGGTGAAATGAAGAAGCAGTCGGAATTCTGGTCACTCATGTTTCTTGCTATTGGTGTTGCAAGTTTTGTTGCAAATGTTATACAGGTTAATGATATAAGTATGGCTTGATTTTATTATAGGAATGTATGTAATACTGCATTATTTCTACATGCTTCCAAGAATGCAATTCTCCCAGTTTTTTGTAACAAACTAGTTTCTGTAGTTTAGTACTACACAACGTCAATATTTATATATTTGTAAAAGCCCTATATCTGTGCAATTTAAGTGGCAATAATTTTTCAAATTACAGTTGCCCAGTTTTTTAGTCAACTTCACGTACAGATGAGAGCAATACACTGTTCATACAGCAAATGTTACACAACACTGTACTTACTTGACATTATGGTGCAGTTAAGGTTAGAAAAATATAGGTCACTGCTAGGTAATGAGTGTCATTCTTTTTACTTTGTTAGAGTTTCATGTTTGCCAAGTCGGGTGAACTGTTAACTTTACGCCTGAGAAAAATGGCTTTTGAGGCCATCCTAAGACAGGTCAGTAATTTAGTAGAGTAATAAAGGGTGAGTAGAAGGGATAAATTTCACCAAGTAAAAACAATACGGACCACTTCCTTTGATAGTTTTATTGCTTCAGTAGTCTAGCCCAGTGGCTCGATATTTTTGTGTTTTGCAAAAGAACAGGATAACTGTTACAGTAGTCTCATTTATTTCTGTCAAACAAACAGTTTCCAAGACAAATTTTAGAAGTTTAGAAGATTTTTTTGTTTTCTAAATTTCTGTTAAAATAAACAGAATCCAGCTCAGGAATGGATGGGTGGTGCATTACTTTTTGTGCCTACTGTACCTTGCTGCAAGGAAAGCCGTAGGCACTACGTTACGATGTCGTTTAAGTTCGTTAATCTTCCCCCAACCCCCCCCCGCCGTTTTTAAAATGGCGAGCTATCGTGATACACTCGTAATCACAACAGAGAGAGGTTTAAGGTATATCCACAGCGCCAGGTACGCAGAGCGTACGAATTGACGAAGTTTTGTATTGAAGTAAATTTGATACACATTAAGACATGTACCTTCCCTGTTCCCCGTCATTCAATAGACCAGTGTGGAAACCCTTCTCTAACCAAGTCCTCCTTTCGTCACAAGTTTGGCGTAGACGAAAGCTGTTCATTAAACCGTCTGCACTTTACACCACCTTGCTTTTTTACTGCAATACTCCAAAACTATACAACAGTAGGTACATGCAGTCAAAGACTACCTTATATTGGATATTGTTTGATGGTTTTAATGTAACTTCTGTCTCCGATTAAAGTTCACTCCTTAGTTCACTTATCGGTCTTGTTATTGTTCAACAGGATATGTCGTACTTTGATGATCCACTGCATAGTACTGGGGCACTGACCACAGCATTGGGAACACATGCCTCAGCTGTTAAAGGGGTAAATATGCATCTATTTTGTTTTTTTCTTTTTTTTTTTCTCGATATTATCACATAACTGGTGTTAACTGGCCTAACCGGAAAGGGGGGGGGGGACTTGGTTGCCTTGGTGACTTCACTTCTGAGGAGATTTGATAAACTGTTTTCATGAAATGTCATGAAATAACATGAAATTCATGTGTAGCCAGTCATCAGCATTTCTGAAAATTTCAATATGCATATTCTGCAGAATATCTGCAGGTTTTATGGGTCATCCCTTCCTAAACAGAAGTTTAGTGTTGTTTTCTTTTTTTTTTTTTTTTTTGAAGAAAATAATGTGCTTTAACACAGCAGGTGATAACAAATCAAAATACATTTACTTCTTGATAATGAAAAGAAAATTGAAAAAAAGTAGTTCCTAGCCTGCAGAGCAGGCATTCTAGTAAAGTTTGGGTGGAAATTAGACTGCGCGAAAAATGGACGAACTTTACTTGATTGCCAGCTCTGCAGGCTAAGTAGTTCCCAGCTGAGTAGAAACTTTGGTCATTGCAAATTATTAAGATTTTGTCTTTTAAATTAAAAAAAAAATGACCAATGCACATACTGAAGCTCATGAAATTTTATTGGTACCTGGTAGTTGGTAGTTGGTAGTTGGTAGTCTTCTGAATGACTGATTAAATGCATTTGTTGCTGGGATGATTGAGAGGGAGAAATGTACAATGGTCATTCATTTGTCATTCATTTGTGAATGGCAGCAGAGAAAACTTTATGACTCATAGTCCTCGCTATGACATATTAATTTTGTGAGTAATCTTATAAGTGCAATATTGTTTCTTTTTTTCCTAGAATTAATGTTTGTTGCATACATTTAATTGCTTGAGTATTTATACTTTGTTTTCACAAATTTTAGGGTAAGAATGACAAAGATGATAAAGAGAAAATTGTGGAGGAGGAAGTGGAACCAGCTCCTGTTATGCGTATTATAAAGTTAAACACTACGGAATGGCCATATTTGGTTTTAGGAAGTGTGGCTGGGGCCATTAATGGACTGTTCCCTTTTGCCTTTGCATTGGTTCTGTCTGAAATTCTGGAGGTAAGCTTTATAATGGCTGCAAGCCTTAGCAAGGAACAAGTTTTGATGACAGTGGCAACTGTTGCTAAAATGTGCACACTTGCTCCTCTTAAAGTACAATTGTATTTTATAATTTTCAAAGTGGTTTTTCATATCCTTGTCTATTGAAATAGACCATTTAAAGATGATGAAGATGTTGTTGATATTTATCAATTAAACTGCGGTGTTATGCAAGGATTTCCAGCCCTGGAGAAAGCCTTAACAGTGCACGTGTTCAATTCCTGGACCTGGCGTCACGTATGGGTTGAGTTTGTTGTTGGTTCTCGTCTGTTGCTCTAAGGGTTTTTCTCCGAGTCCTCTGGTTTTCTTCCTTCTGCAAGAACTAACAT